TTAAACAATAAATGTTTATAGTATCTCTTTCCTGTCTGCATTGTATATTAAATAGCATGAGTCTCTCAAGTCTTTTTTAACAACCCATTTGTCTTAAGATTCACGTAAGCTTTATCTCTTAAAACCAGCACTGAACATCCAACAATTTTTCTTCAAGTAGGTGAATTGAAGCAGGTCTAAATGCATGTATAATCTGGATGTAAAAGACCTAGTTGAATTCCGCATAATTATTCTCAGGGATAACTGACTTCTTAGATTGTTACAGGGAACTAAAGAAAAAAACTGTATATGACAAATGTGCAAATAAAATCTTGACTTTATGGCTTGAATTGAAAGAAGCTAATTTGTATTGCATTGATGTACTTGATTGTTCTTTTTAGTTAAAATGTTGGAAACAATAAACCATCATTTGAATTAAATGAAATGTTTATTGTGATTGTGGCAGATCGTACATGTTAATTCTTTTTTGTAAATGTTTTGACCTAAAACTGTTACTTTTTGAGCATGTACCATAAATGTGCTGTCTAGGGCATTTTAATGTATCTTTCTTATATTAATGCAGAATGTGAACATCGGGACCTAACTATGTGAATGAAATAGCTGAACCAATATCAGAGGCTAGTTCTACGGCAGGTTAAACCCAAGGTCATTTCCCTCTAAAGAAGGAAAGGGTGTTGAAGACTAAACTATGGGATGCTTAGTATTATTTTTCAAGGTACCTGTATAACAATAGTTTTTTAGGGTGTTTTTTGTTTTCTGCATCTAAGAAAGACATCACATGGTGATGTGGATCTGACTGATATTGCAAACAACTAATTAAATAAGACACACAGGGCATAAATCTTTGAACCACTGTGATTTTTAATTACTCTTTATGTTAAGTTGTTCTTAACATATAAAGTAGTGAGCAACCTTATTTGCTCCCTGCCAATTAAAGATATAAAATACCAGTAGCTTCTTTCCACATTATTTCCTGTGGTGAGGGAAAGGCTGTGGTAGATAAATCAATAGATTACTGCTAGAAGTATTGCAGAGCACAGGATGTAGATAATGAGAATGTTTCCAATCACTTTTACAGTTCCATTGCTTAATTACTAAAAAAACACCTCCCAGTGGGTTTGATAATGGTCTTTTGAGAACAACAGTTTCTTTTGAGGTAGAAAACACAGAGAATAAACTGTACAGATACAATGTTTTATGAGGTGGATACATTTTAGTAAAGTTTCATTTAATGTTAAAAAAGTGGCATTGATCACTTTTGGGTTTGCAGGCTTGCAGGAGACATTGTCTTTAGATTCTCTATGTGATTATTTCCAGAATCAAAAACATGGTATCTTAACATAGCAATCATATTTTTAGGAGCAAAACTGAATCCTTGACAACTAAGGGGCCAATTAAATTGCATTGGTCTTAAATACAGTATCTACGGCGTGAGTACTTTTCATCTAACAAGAGGGCAGCCAATTATTTTAAAAGGAGTCTTGTCATTATCTGAGATTCATATATATACAGTATATTTCTCTAATAATACCACTCAGAAGAATGAGTAGTATACAGTACAGCCAGGCGATGAATAAGAATAAATGTTTTGCTGAAGCCTATGAGAATAGAGTGTGTTCTCTGCAAACCGTAGACTGCACAATACTAAAGTTATCAGTTATGCAATTCATATCAACATCTTAGAAAACTGCTTTATGGAAAGCATAGGTAACTTGCATAGGTAAGATGTGCTAAACAATCTGTATTAAATTAATGTTACTTTCACAATTCTAAAATTGGCTTTTATGCAATCTCTTTCATACCAATTGCCTAGCACACCCTAATAAACCTTTCAGTCCATAATCAAACCCAAGGCTTCTGATCTGTGAGGTAGCACTGTTAGCCCATATGTAAAATCAGTACTCTTATAATTTCATAGACAAGAAGAGGCTATGGTAGATGTGCTAGTAAAATTTGTAGAGTTACAGATTTGTTGTTTTGTCTTAATGGAATGTTCAGTATTCTTACTGACGACATACACCTAAAAACAAAACCTCTAGATTATAAATGCCATTTCTACTTATGGCATTTAATCAGATGCTTTCATCTGGAATCATTTTATTATGACACGGGACAATGCACCTCTCCATCAGTATTTTTCTCTTCAAAGATAACAAACAGCTTCTATCAAATATTAAAATTGCCGCTGCTCTTTTCCTCAATTTTGAATATTACCAGGACTAGATGTTCTCATTTTCTTTGATGTGAATGTAGACAGGATTTGTGAAAGAACCACATGATTAAAAATGAAGCATCAGTACTGTTTATCTATAATAATTTAATATTAAAATGTGTATGTAGTTTTCACTTATCATGTGTGGAGCACTGAATTATGTTATTTAGAATGTAGATAACATTGTTATTAATTTATAATAAGAAAAATACTTGTGTTTGCAAGGAAACCTCATCTAGAGCTAACACTGTTAACAAAAGTGCTACAGTATGTAGCCGAGTTAAAAAATAATACAATAGTACAAGTTAAATGCCATATAGATAAATGCAGCACTATTATAGTAAGCATATGAAAGTATGTTATACAATCAAATAAAAACTATATGATTAAATACCAATAGTGTGTCCACTTAAATACAATATATAAACTAAACTTGTGTAATTCAAAATTGTTTAACCAATTAACAGATCCTTAATGCTTTAATTCAGTGTGTTAAATCATTTCCCCTCATTTTATTAAGATGGCACCATACTTTTATTGAAATAGCATTATTATACTGTTATAAAGAATAAATGTTATGTTTAATATAATATGTTGTGGTTATCCATACAGAATTTTAGATTGTGTATTGATGTTTTATCTTTGAGTAAACAGCAGCACAAAAATGCAGAAACACTCAGAAAAAAATCCACCTTTAGGCAACTTAAGAAAAAATGTAAAAAAATAAGTTATCATAATCATTGGCACAACAGCACCATCTCCATCCTACATCTCAAGCACAGTGTTAATACCTAGGGTGATTTTGGTATTAATGACTTCTAAGAAGTAAATAAAAACTGTTATTGCCATCACAATGAGGGAATAATCTGGCATTGGACTAGGGATTTTTACGTTTCAGTAGTGAACCATTTGAGAATAAAGTAAACTAGTGTGTGTTTTCATCACTGTTAAGAAAAGGTAAGGGCTCTGAAATACTTTACATTTACCGTTAAGATTTTTTGGAGAAGTTAGGAAAACATTAATTAAAAAGTCTGAAATATTATATAACAGTAAATTAATTGGTGATAAGAATTTTTGGAAGTCTTTAAAACACTACCATTCACATGAATATTGTGAGTGATCCAGTCTCTCGCATTGCATACGTCAGCATACTTTACATATTTAAATATATACTCCTATTATGATACTGCAATGAGATTTAATTAGAAAACTCCTGGTAACATTGTATTTTGACACAGGAGTGATTCCAATTGAATTTATTTTTGGGGGCATGTGTCAGGACTCTAACTTAACCTGTTAGAGTTACTGGAAGACCTAAAATGGTAGTATGTTTTGTTGATCAAATGACATTAAGTCAGATTATGTAATTGTAGAAAATAATATGGATTTTATATTAACTTGCTTTTCAGTATATGTACAGTATTCTAACTGTTCACCAATGTATGCACACCATAAGTAATGTGTGCATTTATGCCCCCCTGCTGCGAAAACTTTTAAATAATAAAATAGAAGATGGCAGACAAAACATTCTAAAGAGAAATAGATGGTATTCAAGTTGCTTTCTAATATATTGCGTGATTGATGTTTTTTTTTTGTGATATCACATTACTGATTTAATCAAGGGAAAAGCTGTATAACAAGTCTGTCTTCATAATGTTGCTATTTTTACCCCTTTTATGCTATTTGTTAAAAGCTATTTTATTTTATTTTAAAAATGCTTAGGGATTATTATGGAGCTGTTTAAAGAGTACTCCTTTCTTTTAAGTGACCCTCATTAGATCTTAAAGAATAAGAAATGATAAAAGTGCAAGCCTTTCATGATAATTTCAATAGTCAAGTGTCTAGGTTTCTGAAAACGGCTAAAAGCAAAGTTTTTTTCTCAACATTCTTTGCCAGTATTTTAACAGCATGTCCGGCCTTAGGAAAAATGGCTCCCCACATGAACTTGTATTTTCACTCTTCACACACATCTAAGTGCTTAGTGTCCTTAGCATCAAAAGTTGAACTTTTTGGTCACAATGAGAAATATCTTGCATTGTTAAAACAAAGCACTCTCTTATAATAGAAAAGAACATCCTGACTGTGAAGCATAGTGGTGGGAGTGTCATGATTTAGGACTGCAAATTCTCAATGGGAATCCATTTTCCGGGCCATCCATTTTGTGAGCTCAAACTGATCCAAACTGGGTTATGTAGCTAGACGACAATCCTAGGCATACATGGCTGAAGAAGAAATCTCATTTTGGACTGTCCAAGTTCAAGTCTGGATATAAATGAAGCTGTTCATGCAAGAAAACCCTCAAAACTTGAAGCGAGTCTTTAAGGAATAATTAGCCAAAATTCTCAAATGAGTCGTGTTAACAGTTACAGGAAACATCTCTCTGAAGTCATTGCTGCTGGCAGTACTACTAGTTACTGAAATGAGGGATTTACATATTTATTCACACAAGTACATTTGTTGTTGGGTCATTTTCTTAAGTAAATAACCCAAATGTATCTTATGTCTTTGTGTCATACATTTAATATCTTCACCTTTTATGAAGACCTTGATAAAGATCTTATCTTATTTTAGGTCTAAAATATATCTGGGGGTTCGTACACTTTTTGTTGGTACTGTATATGCAGCACTGTAAGACTATGCAAATGCCACTTCCAAACATAAAATTACATGAGCTCACTATATTGTCAAATAATTACTGAAATAAGTGAATCATTCTGTCAACACAGTATATCCATATTCTTCACGTAAAGTATTAAAGTCTTGTTTTAATCTGCTTATTTCCCTCCAGATTTTGGCCAATATCATAATCTTCATCTGTGGGAACATGGCCGGGGCCTATCACAAGCATTTAATGGAGCTGGCTCTGAAACAGACTTACCAGGACACCTGCAACTGCATCAAATCTCCCATCAAGCTGGAATTTGAAAAACGTCAACAGGTTTACTTATTATTAACGCTTTTCATATAGAGCAAACCCATACATTTTATTAAAATAGCAAATGTTACTTCGTTTTTAAAATTTCTACTGGTTCCACTTTGTGTGCAATCAACCTTATTGCATAAAAGCACACTTCTGAAAACAGTCACAGACAAAAATATTTATCTAATATGTTGCATTAGAGGTTGTGTAGCGTAACCTACCTGAGATAACTGCAGCCTGACCATGAGGATGAGGCTAACTAAATTCCCCTTCACTTTCCTGAAGAAAGAGCTACTGCAAGAGAGTAGATGGGGGTGGCAGTAGATGGTGAGAGAGATGTGCCAAGGGAAATCCAGAAAGTGAGGCAGATATATGCATAGGAAGGAGAGTGAAAGAAGTCAGATTTTACCTTCCTTTTAAATGTTAAAAATTCAATTTGGGTCATTTAATAAGTAATGTGGATTTGTCATATTACTTTTTCTCTGATTCAGATTTCATCTCTCTATCAGCAACAACGGTAATATCAGGTTAACCATCTTTCTAACAATTGAAAAAGTAGAATTCTTAAAATGATTGCTTGGGGGTTTTATATGTATAGCAAAGATAATACCCACAGCAAATGAGGAAATAACAATTAAACGGCTACTTCATTAAAAAAGAACCAAAGGCATTTAAGATTTGTCCCACATGCCTCCTATTTATCGAATAATTAAATATAAAGTCCCTTGCTGGAATAACAGAATATCCTGGAGTAATGATTTACTTAGAGTAACAATATCAAGCCTCTTTCACAGATAGTTTCCAAATGAACAAGTAAATTACTTGTTTAATTCTCTTAGTATAAAACTGAGGATACTGTAATGAAATTAAATGAATTAACATTTTAATTGATTTGAAATAACATTTACAATGCTTTTATAATAATGTTTTTATAGTTTCTGAATGAGAAGTCTTTTTTTAAAGGAATGTGTTTCTAAGGTACAGATTCAACCAGAAAATAGAATTGGCACACAAGCAGGCAGCTCACCATCACTTTAGATTAAAAAAAATAAAATTACAAATAACACATTATTAAACCAACATGCAAATTGGTAATTGAAAAAAACTGTACTTACATTGACTATTAAATGGATTAAGTGTCTTGGCCAAAAATGCAAATGGGAAAACCGTGCTGTGGATTTACAGGAAGATACTGTAACTGACAACTGTCACCATATCTTTCAACTTGTTGCAGTCAAGGGAAATAAGGCTTTGATATGTATGGAGGTCTGTGAAGATTAATGCAAAACGTAAGAAGGTGAACTGATTTCTCTAAGGATATGAGTCATGCCTCTGAATAATTGAACTTACTTTATTCTCAGCAATAGCAGCTGATTCTTGAACAAACATCACCAAAATGTGAAAGAAAATGAGGTACTGTATCATCCATTAAATATAGAATGTCTCTTTTGGTTTTCATCACACAACTGAAATCCTGAGAAAATTTTTACTTACATGGACAAATTTTCAAGGCAAAAGCAAGGTTATTTTTTTACTGCTGAAAAAGAATTACTTATTTTAAAGTTCACAGTTCATTCTTAATTCACTTTGGCAACTTACAGAGTATATACAGTATATTAATTTCATATTCGAATGGATTTCTCGATTACTGTAATTACAAATTTAAAGTTATGCCAGCAATGGTTTATAAATTGTGTTCAGTCATTGAAAATATTATTTACTGACTCCTCCCTGAACTTATGCAGTAGTTTCAATAAGAATATATTCTCTGTAAGATGAGCAGGGATGACATGTAGTGTCTTGTCCTCAAAGAGGAGTGAAAAGGTACAATATATATTTCTCCAGGCTCTACAAGAGGATGCTGGTCTCTACAATATGAAATCTGATGCAAAAGGTTTCAAACTGCAAATATGCAAAATCACAAATGCATTGCTTCAAATGGTATTTCATTTTCATAGTAGGTCTCCGGTTTAACTCTGTTGATATCATGTGATTGTGCCCACTACAGAAGTGTCAATTTGTTGCAGTTAAAATTGATAACAGTCTTGAAATGTCCATTATGTAAATTAGTTTAATTTCTTATACCTATGTAATGTCACCCCTTTCTTGCTATGATAGTTTAATCACAGCTTTATACAGTACATACTACAGACAAACAATATTTCTTTGATAGCAAAGATTGAAACATGGTATTGTTCGATAACATTAAACTGAGAGCAGTGGAAGAACTGCAGCCATGCAGTTGGAACATGAATCTTCAAGTGCAGAGAAGGCTGGCCAGGTGTAGGGCGCTGGGGTCCCAGAGTTTGAATGGGACAGGTTTCTTCCCGAGAAAGGGAACACTGGACATGGAATGATGACCCAAGTGGAGTCTACCAGGGTTCCAAGGAATGAGAGGAAATCTGTTTAGATTGGCAAGGAAGAGCACTGGAAAATTTAGTTTGTTAGGAAATTTTCTGTCCAGCTTTCTCAGGGGAGTAGAGGGTTGAAGAGCTCTTGTGAAGGACTATCTTTTTAAATGCAAAGCAAGTACTAATAGTTTTATGTAGAGATGGTACAAATCCTGCCTTCATGATCAACTGAAATAATAAAACGCATACCAGTGCTTAGACACTATAACATTACAGAATACAGAATGTGCAAAAAATGTTGTTTTTTTTTAGATAACACTGTTCTGTCAAATCACCTAAGCAAAATCCAAGAATAAATCTATTTAAAAACAAATTCCGAAAAGGTGAATGTACTGTGAGGCTCTATGTGCAATTTAGATTAATCCCCTTTTGGTGATATCTGAGGATGCTTTAATATTGTGAAACTGTAATATTGTAATGTCTATTGATGTATTGATCTTTTGTAATGTCTCTGAGCGTACCTTGAAATCAGTGAATGCTGACCTCCTGTTAGTTTCTAAAGTCCATTTAAATAAGGAAGAAAGTCATACTCCTTTGGGAGCTAAACAGAACCCACTTACTACAAACAGTACATTGGTTTTGGAATATCACCCCTCTTTACATCAGGCACTTTACATTATCTACTACAAAAAGATCATTCAAATATAATTTTATATCATATTTAGTTGAGCGTGTTTAACTTTTTTAATTGTTTTAATTATAATTAGTGAGGGGTGGCCTATTTAAGTGTGAGGAGTATTAGAAAACTGGGTTCACATCCATTTTAAAGATCCTAAAGTTCAGAGCAAGTTACAAGTTACAAATAACAAACGGTTTTACTCTCCTTTTCTCTCCTGAGTGATTAACTGTGGAGTGTGTTTTAGGTAGTCAATGTGATATGACTGTTTGTCTAAACACAAACCATAGGGACTGTGCTGTTAAAGAGTGTGCTGTACCTGACTTTGCAGAATATATGGAATGCAGAAAAAGACATGAATATGCAGCTTCAATAGGTCGACTATGGTAGTGTATGGACATAGGATTATGCATTGGATTTCACAGAATAGGAGATTTTCATTTTTGTTAGACTCAGTAAGTTTGTTTAAAATATCTTTAAATTGAAAAATGTAATGCTGCTGTGACTTTGGTAAATGGTGTTCTGTGTAATTTCAGCTAAAGTTTAGTACATTATAACTGTGTTAATTTCATTTTATAATAAAATAATGGACACTTAATTTACAGATTTAATTGTATCTCCACTGACAAGTCGATTTATAAAAATTAGGGTCAGACATCTTCAGAAGATCAGTTTCAAATCAGTATTATTTCAAGTGTCTGGTTGGGATAATATTGAGGACCAACTAATCCAAATGCTAATTTGGAAATTACATGCATTCCCTCAAGTCTAAGTAGATAAAGAGGTTAAGACCTGAACCATGCCTTATGCTATGTTCTGCTGCAGAGATATAACGAAATGTATTAGGGCGGAAATTCCAGGCGGACATTGTCTAAAAAGGTCTCGGACAGTAATAGGTTAAGTTATTGCCCTTGATAATGTGAAGAAGAGTTGTACTAACTTGCATGTTCCCTCACTGTGATCGGTGGCAGGAATAGTAAACAGCTCATCAGTATGATTTACTTGCTGTGCATGATAATAAAGTACCAACATTTGCTTTGTATGCTGACAATTTTAAATGTTATTTTTTTCGTGATTTTGCACGTCTCTACTGCATTAAGTTGTGAGACAACATTTTTAAAGGAAGCTATGAAACACACAGACTGTGCTGCACTTCTTTCTACAAAGGGTCATGGCGTTAAATGGTGAAGTCAGTTCCATTGTTTCTTTAAAGAAACATCTGAAAGGATTTGAGATGAATCAGCTACTGAATACTAAATGAGTTCAAAGAGTCAAGATGCATGTTAATTTAAATAAACAATATAAATAACCATTTACTATAGTATTACCCAGTGTACTATATAGAAAATAATGTAATATTTTATTATTTTATGAAACATCCATGTTAAGTCTGGTCATCTTGCAGAGTGATTTGATATGAACTAGAATGTCTTTAAATTCTTAAATATGAAATTCCATCGATCCATCTATTATCTATATTTCCTAATACAGGGTCACAGATGCCGGAGTTTATCCCAGTAAGCAATAAGTGCAAGACGGAATACACCATTGCAGGGCACATACCTGTACAAATCCAAACATGCACATATTCACACCAGGGCTCATTTACATAGAAGCCAGTTTACCTATGACCATGTCTCTTGATGGTGAGTGGAAACCAGAGAACCAGGAGGAAAACTATGCAAACACAGAGAGAACATAAAAATGTCATACAGATAGCACCCCAGGAATTGATCCAAGAGCCACAGCACTGCAAGGCAGCAATGCTAAACACTATACCAATTCTTGGTTAATAATTTGTTAAAAGGCACTACTTGAAGTCCTCTCCAGAACAAAGTAATTTAAAATGTGCCAAAATTGTCACGTTTTCATATACATTTTGAGATAACCTGTAGCCAACATGTCATTAAACCAAATAAATATTGCCAGAGGTGACAGATATCATAGAGTATTGACATTGATAACAATCATTGATTTCTTTTCATTTAAGTATATCGCTGATTTACTTAAAAATAATAGCAGTAATCTGGATGCAATAATGCAGGTGATAATGGACAGTAGTCTGCACAGTTACAACTTTTATTATCTAACACCCTATTTACTTAACTGATCAGATGCAGAAGTACTGCGTGAATAAAATATAATCAGCATAAAAACACAGGGTGACAGGGCTGATATTGATTCAGAAAAGCTGAAGGTGGCTATCAGCTAGAGACAGGAAATGTAGGAAAGGAATTTAGGTACATTTGTGTTTATAGATCAACTACAGTAGCTAATTTATTAATTATATAATGTTTGATCACATTCTTATTTCAGTAAAACACTCAAAATGAAGTTTTTGTATTTATGTCATTGAAAAACAGACGGGTATGACAATTAGTGCTGTTACCTCACAGCTCTAGGTTGTGGGCTTTTCCCACATTTTTTGGGGTGCTATCCAGGTAATCAGGTTTCCTCCCAGTAATATGATATACTGTATGGTGTGGCTATGCTAAATTGCAGTATGAAGAGCATGAATAGCGCTCTCAAACATGCACCACAAAGACATAAGATATGTTTTTCTTGTTGCATGATTCACTTTAAGTTAAGTGACAAAACGGATGGCACCACACTTTCCACCAGAATTTGCAGATACAACGATTAATTGGTTTTGTCAATGATGGCAAAACACCGAGGTCCTGAGGCAATAAAATCAGACCCAAACCATGACAAGCCCACCACATGTTGGACAGTCAGGAAGAGAGACTACTGTTGGAAGGCAATGTTTAGTTTTCATCACCCATCTTTCTCAATATGGCCAGAACATTTTGATTTATCTGTCCAGCGAACATTCTTACAGTAGCCTTGTGGATCATCAGGCGTTCTTTGGTGAACATAGGCGGCAATGTTCTTTTTTTTTTAGGAATCAATGGTTTCTTCCTGGTTTCTCTCCCATAGAAGTACACTTTTTCTGAGAAATTTAATATTGGTCAAGACCAAACTAACAAATCTTCTGACCATTGTATAGGACAGGACTGTCTGAACTTAGGTCTTGCTTACTTGTAACCTAATTATGTATTCACCTCATTTTTATTACCTCCTTACTTGTGCTAAGTAAAACTAGTGTTCTTACTTCACTGACACTGATTCTTAATAGTTTATTGTTCTCTACTTCAAATACTGCACCATTGCATCACAAAACCATTGAATTGGTAAATATGAACCTTTTTCGATATTTTGGGTATTTAAGTTTTCTGTTATGCTCTGCAGCACCTTTCTTACCTAAATTGATGTCTTTTACATTGATCACTTAATATGGGCTAACACTGATAAAACATTTCAGTTCAAGGCTACAAGAACTAAAGACACTGTTTCCTATGATATCTGGTTAACAGCACTCTTGTCTTATGTACTTTTTGATAATACTGCTCTGGGGATCATTATCAGCTTGTTACAGAACAGCATTCCCTCTATTGAGATGCTGTCTCTTCAGTTTCATTGTAAATTCTCTGGAATTGATAGCCTCAATGATATACATACATTTCAGATGTAATTAATTTGCTACCATAACCTAGATATAATATGTCTTTGGAAAAATATTATTTAGACACTTTTTAAAAAATGTTTGAGATGTATTTTTGCTTTTGGTTCTTGATTTCTACAGTACTTTACAATCATGTACCCTGTATTAAAAGTAAAAATATCATTTCTGATTAACAGACACTGATTCTGCTCTTTTTAATTATTACAATAAAAGACAAGAAAGTGAACTATATTATTCTGGAAATCTAACTTAGTTGAATATGAATTATATTATGTCCTAAAAGAATATTCACTGCTGTTAAAATACAAATTAACCACCTGGGGATATTTCATGTATATCTTCTGTATTTTAAATAGCAATTTTCCAGTATATGCATTTACTATTATTCTTGTTCATTACTAACAAAGCCAGATTAAAATTATTGAATTATCTGATGATGATATTGTGTGATGTCTCAGGGAGACTGGAAGTAAAAAATTCAAAACCAAGCAAAAGAAATGTCTTGATAGTCATTAATTACAATTAATAACAAAGTGATTTTACAAGAAGTAATATTTTGTTGCTCTCTTAAGCCTTACTTAAGAGAGACTTATCAGTTTATAATAAGTAAAAAACAAGTGATGATAGGTCAAACTGAACAGATAAAGATAACAGACCTAAATAAAGTGCACACTAGTTCTTAGCATGCAATTGAGATTTTGCTTATTTGTGCTTTTTAATTTTTCCATAACCTTAATTGTTAATGATTTTTTTCCTTACACGGGAATCGCATGATGTCATATCCACTGTTATGCCGAAACAATTGTGTACACACAAATGATCAATAATCAGTATACTATAAGTATATATATAAGTATACTGTATATATCATATGGTTTTAAAGCCACTAAAGTAAAGTACAGTATGTTTCATAATAAAACATTTCCATAAACAAAATTTAGTTAAATTGTTGTCTGATTATTCATTGTTGAAATTTAAATTAAGGACGAAGTATGGGTTATTTCAATACGGAGGTAAACCTGAAAGAAGCACATCACGTTCACAACTAGCTACGGTATAATATTAAACCATATTTTGTATATCCAACTGAGTAATTTTGTTTTTGTAAAATAGCTCTACTTTCTTTTTCATTTATTTAATATTTAACATACTGTAATACAGTTTAATATTAATAAAAGTTCAAACAGTATATAACCTAAATTCTATAATTGGAAAAATATTGTCTCAAGGGGTTCAGCATTGACCAGGATTCAAAACCGGGCGTTTTCTGTGACACCACATTAAGCATTAAGCACACCACCAGTCTGACAACAGAATGTTTTTAAAATACTGTGGTATTTTAAGTATATTGCAGTGAGGTGTATGTACCACGGTTGTGAACAGCATTATTCAGTGCACATTCTGAATAATTCTGTATTATTGTACATTCTGTATAAGAAAAAAAAATAACTTCTTCTCAATATAAAGTTTTGGTTCAGAATTATGTGTGTGGTAATACTGTATATGGATTGAAAAGCAGTTTCATAGCATTCCAATAATATATTTACTCTTTCTCTCACTACGTTTTTAATGTTTACACTGGATATCTTTATAATAATGACAACTAATTTGTTAGTACAGTATCGGCATCTCCAAGCATTATGCTTGTGTGTTCTGTACATTTATTAATTTTCATTTTACTCATGCACATACAGTATAATTTTTAAAATTTAATTGAAGAAATATCAACCTATTTTTCACTCATTGCAATCATTTCTTTTTTTAGTCTCTTGATGTGCAGAGTAATCGTTGCATACAGACCACTGCAGGTTGGAAAGCAATTATTCCCTCCATGCTTCTAAGAAATTTTCTTTTTAACCAGCTTTTATGCAACCACAACACAGTCAGGTGACAAACACTTTAATTTTTATGCTGCACTACATAGGATCCCAATACTCTACAAAAATGTTTAAAAATTATTTTAACAAAATAAAAATCAATAGTTAAGTCTCCATTGCTGCCAGATGGAAAAATAAAGAGTGATTTTTTTTGTCCACTTATTACTTGTCTTTTTGTCCATGTGACAGTATCTTAGTATGTTACAATACATTTTTATGCCAGAGCTTCTTTAAACACCTATTTGTTTATATTGGTTGAATGTGTAAAATGCCTTTAGTACATAACAGGCTTTTTAATCAGGTACTGTTGCATTATTCCTGTGCTTGGATATTTATACTTAGTAGTTGTGCATGTCTCTTTAGGGAAAGCTAATGATAATTTTTTGAAAGCCAGAGATTTGTAATGTTTCTGTATGTATCAATTCTTTTGCCTTTTTGTGTTCCCCGTTTCTCTCATAGGAACGTCTGTTACTATCTTTGCTTCCTGCTCATATTGCCAGGGTAATGAAGGCTGAAATTATACAGAGATTAAAGGGACCGAATTCTGGTCAGGTGGAAAACACAAACAACTTCCATAATTTGTATGTTCAACGGCACACCAATGTCAGGTATTTTTTTTATCTTCTTTTTAATCTTTAATCATAAATTAATCTTCTGAAGTTTTTTTGTTTCTCTTCAAGGCACACATAAGCACAAGAGTTCCTTTACATCTTTGTTCATTTTTTGATAAATTATTGGATTGTAAGTCTCTCATCTCAGTAATGGCCATCAGAGATGGCCATCAGACTGGTGACACAAGATGTCCATGTATATACTGTAGTAACGTACTTATCTGTTAGTCAGTGATGTGCTGAATATGCACATTGCAAATCATTATTGGAAACGCAGTAAGCTTGGTGAACAGCTTAGTGATAGCTACTGTAGGTGAATGTGTAAATGTAATGCAGCTACTTATTTCAGCTGATGATTGCTGAATATAAGGTAACTAGCGGTAGCCATACACTTCATCAGTAAACATGAATGCATTGAATCTTTGTCCTTTTGGTTATGTGAGACATTTCCTTTGTATGGAATATTTTTGTGTACATGTATATTTTTATTTAGGGAAAATAACTTAGCTGTTTAAGACCAAATAGAATACTGTCAATGAATTTAGCAAGAGCTCAAAGTGATCTAGATTTTCTTTTTCAATCAGTCATAATAATCCTAATGGGTCTATCTTGTTGTTTAATTATAAAACTGACTTTAGACAAATATATAATTGCCAAAATTATAGGATCACATTCTAATTGCTACCATTAGTTCATAACACCTAACACATTTTTTGTCTTTACTTAAAGAAGAAGCTCTTTATTCATATTGGGGAGATGTGTATATCACCTTCAACTCATTCACATAATATCTAACCTTGAAAACAGCTTTTTAAGGTCAAAGTATATTGTTTTTATCTGCATCAAGTATTTATCACAACATTGGAGTGCATGCTTCCTCACTTAGGCTACAGCACAACACACCTCTATATTGGACTAAATATTGACCGGAAAAATATACAAGAATAATCGGTTTTATTGAAGGAGGTGGAGGCATTTTAACTCAGGAAATAAGATCTTAATTTCCTGTTCATTTTCTCTATTACAAAGGTGATTGTTCCTCTTATTCTTTTTCAAACAGTCATCACCTCTTTCTTCTTTTATCACCTCAATACAAAAGCTCATCTAATTAACCATATTTATCTGTTGTCTTTGTGTATAATTAACATAATAAGAAATGAAAACAGTCATCCAAATGAGTTATGTTTTTGCTTAGAGTATTGTTCACTTCATTGATATACAGTAGTTGTTAGTGATAGTGTTTTCCAAAAACAGAACTAAAACCTCCACAAAGGATCCACCTAATGACCTTTATTAGATTTGTACCTACAAATCCAATAATTTAAACAATCTTCAGTTGTAATTTAACTTAAACATAACTGAGTACAGGTCATTAAGGCAATGACGTAAAAATATTTGCAAAAATATATTTTTTATTTTCTTTAATGATGATATTTGAGTAGTACACCACCCTATTAAAGAAAAGTAACTGGATCCTTCATCTGGATCCATGAATGCATGTTAGTATTGAACTGTAATAAAAAAACTATTTAGAGTCAAAACACAAACCCTGAAATACTACGGTGATTAAAAAAGTAATATTATACTATATAAAAGTTTTTTTGTCTCTGATGTTTCGTCCCCCTTTTTCTGTCTTGGTGTTACATTTGCAAATTTCCCAGTCTATGGGTTCAGCTCTCAACTTTAATGAGAGTTACAATATTCCACCTAAGGATCTATTAATAACATCCCTCATTTCTTTTAGTGCCATGATCAAATCCCAGCAGGTACAGAGCCTCGCTTGTCACAGATACAATGAGAAAAACCTGCAGTGCTGGTTTGGTGGTATTTTTTACTCTTTTTCTCATTTTCACTTGCTATTTAGTTTCATGTTATTCAACCTCATCCCTTAACTTTCCTTCATTAAGACTTTTTTTTTAATTATCCAGACAACAGCCAGCTTTTAACAGGCAATTGTTTTGTGCTGTACTTATCAACCACTTTCTCTGTATTTTTAAGTATTCTATATGCTGATATTGTGGGATTTACACGACTTGCCAGTGACTGCTCACCAGGGGAGCTAGTCCACATGCTAAATGAACTCTTTGGAAAGTTTGATCAGATTGCTAAGGTATGTTCACCAGCATCACTATGTATAATTGTGAGAACCTGCAGTCTGCAATTTAAAACACAAATGTGTTCGCAAATATCATTTTTAATATGTTTGTTAGATCTTGGATGTATTGCAAACATATCAGAATGCACTTTTTCCAATTGTCGTTTTATTCATGGATATCTCTTTCTTCCAAATCTTGATTTCATGCCATAATAAATGTTCCACCAATTACCTTATTTGTTATTAGCAAAGAACCAGGTTTTAGTCTTTGTTACACAAAAGGCATTATTTGTGCAGTCAAGAATTTACATAATTCTAAGTAATTTCTGTTGCTCTTTTTTTTAATAAGGCTTTATGTAATGCCCATAATATGTTCATAATACTTTCTTCAGGCCTAAATAATATATCTTTCATTACCTTTAAAAGCATTCTTCAAAAATATTCTATATAAGAGGTACTTTTCAGTGCAAAACATTGATTCCAGCTCCAACCAACAATCCCAATACTAGACCTAACCATAGTTCTTAACTTAAAACATACCATAATGTGCACTTCACAAAGGTTATGAAGACTTTATCTTTTCAATAATAGTCTTTAGGAATTCAGAATGAAATACAAGCCACAGAGAGCTGGACTCAAAAGGAACAGTAATTTCTCATCTCAAAAATTCAGGTCATTATTTTATTATATTTTCCATGTGCTGAAAATTGCAAACATGATGTTGTACTTTTTAGAACTTGTAGTTAGCCTCCATGCTTCTTCTCAATCATTTTTACTTATTTCCATTTTAGGAGAATGAATGTATGAGAATTAAAATACTTGGAGACTGCTATTACTGTGTTTCTGGCCTACCTGAATCACTGCCAAACCATGCTAAAAATTGTGTGAAAATGGGTCTGGACATGTGTGAAGCCATAAAGTGAGTAAACCAATCCATTTTTTTCTGGTTTTGTAAATTTAATTTAAGATGTGCCAATGTACTAGGCAAAACTTCCTTTATGCATTGAATAGATTTATGCATTTCCAGGGCAAATCGTTTATATGATTTTCAAATTGTTTTGTCTGATTTTGTTTTGATAAACAAAGAGATTAAAATTACTAGCATATGTCTTTGATAAACATACACAGAAAATCACTATTTTCCACTCATCTTTGAAATTAGGTTATGGAAAAGCAGTGATAAAAGTGACTTGGCAAAAAAAACATCAATCACACTGAGTAACAATTTAAGGCAGAAGTAGCAGAACACAACAATGTTGTCTTACAAAAAGAAACATTGTGTAAAAGATGTCAAAACTGAAGTGAGTTTAAATAAAATCATGTGCCTCCTAGCACCTTACCCAGTGTTTATCAGAAATTATATTTTGTATAAAATGCAATACATAGGCACTGAATAATTTCTGATGTTTTGGATGCTTAAATAACCCTCCTCATGACAGATCTATGAGGGTTTGTCTGTTTAGCTGAAATTGTCTTGTCATCATCAGATATAGAACAGGAACTATCATGTTCCATTTACAATGTGCTGTACAAGGCCAGCAATTTAACATTAGGAGACAGACTGAAGTCTTATAAACTACACCCCTGGTGCCCATGTCACAGCAATAATATAAAACAACAAGATTATAAATAAAATTAATAGCTATCAGATGTGTGATAATAAAATGATAACTCAGAGCAGCCTCTTTGACACATGATCATTCTCGTTCCTAATGTAGGGAATGAATTTTGTTTTCAGCTAGTGATTCAACAATTTTTTTTTTAATATTAATATGTGTAATGCATAAAACGTAATGCATCCATCCATTTTAAGCACTTCTTCCCATTTAGGGTCATAGGAGAGCTAGAGGCTATCCTTGCAAGCAACAGGTGCAAGGCAGGATACCCACTGGATTGGACCTCAGTCCCTAGCAGGCTAGAGAAAACAACCACACGGTCATAGTTTTCCCAAAAGCCAATAAACCTACCAGTACGTCTTTGGACTGTGAGAAGAATCCCACACAAACAGGTCCAGAATTGAACCCAGGGCCCAAGTACTGCCAAACACTGTGCCATTGTGCTGCCTGTGTGATTAATTGTTGTACAATATTTAATGCTTTACATATTTAATATTCATAAGGAAGAGTTGGAAATCAAGCTCTTTAGAACTACGGGAGACTAAAATCCATTCCAGAACCACGTGCTAAGAGTAATACACAAGTTTTGTTGTTTTTTTTAGATTCTTGCAGGTGAATGAGTAGCTGTCTACAGATTTCCCTTGAAAGTTGTAGCCTGTCAATTGATTATCCACAACGTGGAGAGAATGCTGAAAAAGCAACCCATGAAGCCTTTTAGCAAATTACTTCTTGTGGAATTGGGATAGTCAACTTAAATTTGACATTAGCTAATATAAGCATTTAAAATATAAAAATATTCTAGATATGTGAATACTGTAGATCCACTTTTTTGTACAATATTGAACAGATTTGGACCAGATTTGTTTAAATGAATACTTGCCAATGTAGGAAGAATTGTTCTATGTCACACAGTAACTGCTATGTCTTCATTATTTCATTTTAGCAAGAAATTCCCACAATAAATGTATCCTTTTTCAAGGCTTCCTAGAAGTATATTCGGTAATAGGCTCTTCTGGGAGTTCAGCTCATTAAATATAACTACTGTACAAGTACCCAGTATTGATGTTAGATGAGATAAATGGGTAAAATTCTCCTTGGTATGTAAAAGTCTGATTCTGGACTAAGAAGACTTTGAAAGGCATGATGTCCTTCAGGATGCCTGAAGAACTCCATGTTGTCTTTAAGAGCTGAATTTGTCCTATTGTTTAGGAGTAATATCCTGCTTATTCTGTTCTGATATGATATGTGAAACAAAGTACCTGGTTTAGCAGTTGGAGTCAGTGCTTTTGCTTATATGAGTGAAAGAATTACCAAATATTAAAATGAGGCAGAAGGGGGAAAATGACTGTCAATTAAAATCCATTTTCAATTTGCATCTTCTGAAAATGACAGCAAAAAAGCCAACCTAAAACTTTAAAATAACATGATTTATCTTGCAAAATACCCTTCTTTGAAGATCAGCATGTAGTGCTTTGTTGTCAGTTTTTAAAAAGTGCATTTCATTCTTTATGAATGGCCTTTTAGAATGTTTCACTTGTTTTCATGTAAACTGATAGACAGATGTTAAAAACTGACTCACACCTGTCTCTGAATCATAAAAGCAGCATATTCTTGAAATAATATCATGATGTACAATGATCTGAAGAATAGGCTTACAAGTCTTTTAATGTGCAAGAGAATAAAACTATTCACTTAATGTATATATTGTAAGACTGACAGCTTTTAAAGATTTTTGATGGAGCACAATTGAATAATAAATCACATGAATTGTTAAACTGTGAATCTCTTCCACTTAAACTGCATTCATGACATTGAAAACACTGAAGTAGTCTTTGTTCCTGTTTTAGTTGTGTGTAAGTGCATTTGTGCTTTATTACAAATAATTTGTCAAAAGCACTTGAGATTTTAATATCAATCAGCAATTTAACATAAATATTCTTAGTGATCTTTGTAAAATTTTGACCTTAAATAAGATCTGTCCTTAATCTTTTCTTTTTTTCAGAAATGGGCAGAAATGGGTTATCTGATTTTCAGATAAGCAGCAAACTGCTCAATATGTTTTAGCACTTTGAAAGCCAGGCACAGCTGTCTGAGCAGATATTTTGAGAAATGTTCACCAAAGTTAAATTTTAGGGTAAAGTACAGCAGCTATTACCAAAAAATTATTTTTTGTAGAAATATTATATCTTAGGAAATAAGAAATCTAACCAGTTTGTCAAACTTTAAACCACAAAAACTACATATATTGATGATTTGTGATGGCATGCTTACAAAAATTAAAGATTACCCTACCTTGTGTTTAAGTACCTTAAATGCTATTCATTCATTTCTCAAAGAGATTCTTTAGATTATAATGTCAATTGTATGCCTGGATGCTCTGATAATAAGGTGTTTTTTCAGTCATGCTAGATGCTTTAAGGAATAACTAGCAACTAGCAATTTTAAACATTTTGCAGCTTCTTTTTTTAATTGAAGTGATATGATAATTCTTAAACTTGAGAATAAAAACACAATTTAATATGTCATTTTAAATTGAATGTATTTTACAAACAAGCAGCACAAAATTATAATTGCATTCTAAAGTGTGATCACTGTGTTTACTGAAGTTTATTTTATGTGATGCTACAGCATTTAATAGCTTTAAAAAATCTTAACACCTGAAAATGCACCTGTTGCACTTCTTATTTTTCTTTAATAAGGAAAGTGAGAGATGCCACTGGAGTTGACATAAATATGCGGGTCGGAGTGCATTCTGGGAATGTTCTGTGTGGTGTGATTGGGCTCCAGAAGTGGCAGTATGATGTATGGTCACATGATGTGACACTGGCCAATCATATGGAGGCTGGTGGAGTTCCTGGGTAAGTATTATTTTTCTTTTACAATCAAGCAATTAGATTTTGCAATCATTAGGTTAATCGGACTGTTAATTAGTTTTATTTTTATTTCATGCACTTCATTTTAGAAAACAGGCATACCTTGTATTCAATCCAGTCAGTTCAAGTGCCCATAAATACTAAAATACCCTCATTTTAAGTCAATTTCAAGATTTAAAAGAGAATATTTGGTTACATATCCCCTTGCAACAAGAACAGCATGAAGTAATAAAGTAACCTATTGAGCACACCTAACACAGATTTTGTTCTGATATGATCAAATGAATGCATAGAATTACCCAAAAGTGTTTTATATTGTACTTACTATATTCATATTATTTTCATGACTGCCAATACTAATTTCTTTGCTTGTTAAGCAAAAAGAACAAAGTTGTCCAGAAAGGTTGCAAGTGAGAGGAGGTTTCTCAACCCATCTAGCCTGTTTGCGCATTATCTGCTCATTGAACTCAGGAAACCATCCTGCCATGTCCTAACAGCAAATAGTTTCAGCTTCAAGAATATGACTGGTTTCAGTCATTAAAACTCCTTATGGATTTATGAATAGGTTAATTATATGAAAGAGACATGGTTCCATGTTTTTTTTAAGACTTCTGCCACCTTGGCATTTTAAAACTTCATTATAATCAAGTGAAAAGTAATCTGTAGTTTCATGTTACTTTTTAATAATCCCTTCTGTTTTGGGTGAATGTTTTCTCATTGACAGTTAATATGTTTACATAAAAGGTGTTGTCTAGGAAACTTGTTTCCAGTAGTAGTGTGATTTCTACTATTCTAAGCAGACAGAACATTATGTGCTACTTTAAAACACCTAGACACAGAGACATGACCCAAGTGAAAATTGGAAATCATGTACAGTAAGCTATTGCTTTAGTTATCTCAACTTAGTATTTTAGTGAGGTATAACAGGCAACATATTGGACATCACAATTCTAAAAAGTTTGAAATTACATACTGTAATGAAAATTACATACAAATTATAAAGAAAAATGATCAATAAAAAGTGTAATTTGACTTCTGCAGAAGCATGCTAAATTTAGCTTATAACCTACCAAAGAAGAATAAAATGAGGATTTACGGCCTGTCATCAAAGCATGTTGTGTTATTCCTCTGTATGAGCACTGTCAAGCATTTTAACAAGCCTGCTGAAGGTTTTTGAAAGGGAAAGGATGAGCTTAAAGTATAGCAATCAGCACTTGGAAATGTATATCTTAAGGGAACCAGCAGGTAGCAGGAATTTGAAATGGTAGATCTCAACATGATCACATACTGGAATTCTGATGTGAAAATTAGCTCAACACACAAATAGATCTTAAAAGCTTCATAGCCAACAACAAGCAGAACTTTTCACAATTTTATTTTCATTCAAGTTTTGTTTTTGAAAAACTGAAAAATATTATAAGAACTGAAGCTAATATCCTGTGGTTTAAGCATTATATAGTTGTTTTTTATGAGGCATTGAGGCATGTTATTAAAAATAATATAAGATATAAAGTAGTTGTGAATTTTTTGGAGCTGTGGTAATGTGTGTTTAAAGATATTAAAACCTTATCATCTGAATGCAGAAACAGAGGTTCTGAATCTATGTGGTCATTAATAATCACAGGGTATTGTTGAAAAGAGTGGGGGTGTTAACCCCAGTGTCATGGCCAAATTTCCCCCTGGTCTGTACCAGTCATGGCCTCCTAATCCCCATCTGTAAATTGGCTTCATCACACTATTCTCCTCCCCACTGAGAGCTGATATGTGGTGAGCATACTGGGACTCTTTGGCTGCAGTCACATCGTCCAGATGGCTGCTACACATTGATGGTGGCAGAGGAGAGTCCGTATCAGGAAAAGGAACCATTTTTTTCTTACTGCCCCATCACCTCATATTGCAAGCCACCTAATCTGCGCAATCTTCCATGTTCACAACACTCTTAACTACCCACAGTAAACACCTACACCAGGTGTTTTTCCCTGTAACAGAGGGTCACCTGCAGGTATACTGTATATCCAATACGACACACATTCAGGAGCCCCTCTGGACCATTCCACGTCACCCTGACGTCATTGTGTAATTCCAGTCAACACTTTTTATCACATCTAATGTAGAAAATGCCCAGCTATTTACACAGGTGAAACAGGAAAAAGACTGCCAGACCGTTGTCAGATGTCAGTGCTCCAAGGATCAAAGATCAATCCTTATAGCCATAATCTTTCTGATCTCTCTGTCTGTGTCCTCGCAGAGGGGTTTTGAAACTCCTACTGCAGACAGACATCCAAAACCAAAATTATCCTTGGATCACACCTCCTCCTTCTCTCAAGGACAGACTCATCTCCTTCTAAATCCTCTTTCTTTGCAGATTTTGGCTTTCCATCCCTCCCCCCTGTTCTCCCTGAGTTTGAACCTCGTTATCACCTGCTATATGCCCAATTCCTATCTGCTCCCCACCCCTTCTTACCTTCTTGTCTCTTGTTCTACTGCACCTTATTCATTTGCCTTATTTCCCTCTCTCCCTCACATCTGAGGTAGGCTCCACTGCCAAAACATTGTGTTTCTTTTCTTTACCTCTTTAATCTTCTTTTCCTCTTTAACTTTTCTATTAAATATATATTGCAGAAAAAATCATCTTTTATGAAGAAAGTTTCTTCTGAGAGATGATCAACATGATTTTTAAGGTTTTGTTTTTTAATAGAGACATTTCTGTGTCAAAACAAATAAATTTAACCTAAAGCATTATTTATGCTTTCAAAAGTAAACTACTTAAACTTTCTGTATTCATTTGCAGACGGGTTCACATAACCTCAGTTACACTAGAGCATTTAAATGGAGCCTACAAAGTTGAGGATGGAGATGGCCAAAATAGAGATCCTTATCTAAAGGAACATGGTGTTATCACTTATCTTGTCATCAACCCAAAAGTAAGAAGTGGCTGTTTTATTCTGCATTAAGAAAAAAATTGGTACTGACAGCTAACATTGGAGAACTTTCAAAAGAAAGAGTTATTATAGAAACTTAAAGCAACACTACAAAATCCAGCAGATCACTGGCCATTGATTACAGAAGGAGTTTTAAATTAAATTGATGTGATCATTTTACACAGTGCTTTAATCAAGATTATCAGGTTTCATCTGCAACTGTTCATCTTCTTAGAAATGGTACAAATATGTTTTTCCTTATTTCCTTGTGTTCAGAGGCTAAAAAAAATGCAGTGTAACGTGCCTTAAAATGAATAAAGCCTTGATAAGTGAAATACTTCAGGAAATGAAATGAAAATGAGTCATTGTATGAATGTGGTCTTGGGCCAGGGTGTTAAAAGTTCATCTTTGCCAACGAGCAGGGGGAGAGGCGGAGCCCTCAGCACCACTTCAGGCCAAGACACACACTGGATGGGGCCAAGATGAGAGCCTCTGTGCGAATGACCAGGTACCTGGAGTCCTGGGGGGCAGCTAAGCCCTTTGCTCATTTGCACCACCGGGACAGCATGACTACTGAAAACGGCAAGATCAACACAACAGTAAGACTTTCTATTTAATATTTTGGTTGCAATTAGGAAGAAATGTCTTCTATGTGTGTTCTTAAACCACATAACATATTCACAATCTGGATAACAAACTATATAAAATTGCATTTCACAGAAATTAAGATCTTGTTTACCTTTTCTTTGAGTTTGTTCCACAAAAGGTCCACTTGCATTGTAGTATACTGGCAATATGTACTTTGGATATGTGTCCTGTTTTTAAAGGCATTGCATTGATCACCAGTATTGACATGTTACTTTAAGGAATGCTTCCATGTTCAGCTGAAATTGTCACAGTGTTTGAATTTACCATGTACAGGGGTTCATTTAGTCACCATCATGAAAATGTTGGAACACAGTCTTGAGAGAGTGCTGACCTTAACATTAACCATTAACTCTAACATGAACCATTCTGTGCAAAATGTTTAGCTTCAATGACTTACGGAATTATAACAAAGAACAAAACAAATAGCCTGTAATTTCTTCTTATTTTAGGATGTACCGATGGGACAATATCATTTTCAGAGGCGCTCTGAAAGGTCTGTGGTATATTTTTGGTGTGTTAGTTAGTTTATAAATAACTTACATACTTGGAGATGATTCACACACAAGACAGCTGTTGTGAGGTTCATCAAAGCATCTCCTGGGGAGGCTTTCATACAGAAGTGGATAAATGATTCTGTAGCTGATGGTGAAAATTTATTATTAGCTTTTTATTTATATCATGCCTTTATGCAAAGTAAGTTAAAATAATTAAAGAAGTGTAAAAATATATATTGTCCAATGTAGAACAAATGTTATACATTATAGCGTATACTGTATAACAAAACTAAATCAAAAAATTAAACCGTGAGTAAAGTAACAGAACATGAAAGATGCATAGTTAAACAGTAATTTCAAGTTAAATTATGTGAATTAACATCTTACATAGGTGATTATTTTGACATAACTAAGAATTTTAGAAAAAAAACCCTACAAATCAAAATTGCATATCCAGTGTTAATACTCAAAAGACTGCCAAGTTGAGAGTGGATTTGTGACATCGCAAAGATATGTTTCTTCATAGGCTTCTACCATTTTTTGCATTTACTGAGTGCTTACAGTTAGTTCTGCCATTCTGTCATGTCTGCTCTGTTGAACTGAGAAAAACAGCATAATGTCCTGTAATATCTTGATTTCTATGAATATACAGGGGCAGGATGACTTTTGTAGTTCATTGAAATGTCTTATTTCAGCAATCACCATAGAAATTTTATGAAGTCATATGCTTCAATCTACATAATCCTCCTGAAAAACACAATGTAATTTCAGCAGGTATAGGGATCAAAAAGACATTTTCCATTCACCTTGGTAAGAAATGCAATACATTAGCAAGTACTATTTCACTGCATTCATCACAGATAATATATTTTTAACGATTAATGAAATGGCTTAATTGTACTCTTGTTTTTACAGGACAAAATCACAGAAAAAGCGGTTTGAGGAAGAGCTGAATGAGAGAATGATTCGAACATTTGATGGAATAAACTCACAAAAGTATGTGAGTTTTTATTTCTGTTTTGTTGCTGAGAAGTGGCTGTAATCTATAGCCTCATGTACAAAATGTGCAGTATTAGTTGAATTTTGTTTCTTGTGTTGTAGTATAATCTGCATTATTAAGAGATCAAATTAATTGACAAGTTGATTATCATTGTTTTATTAATGAATGTGAGTTCTAGTAAGTTAATAAATATTTGTTTTTAATGCTTTGTGTCACTTTTGTAATTGAGTATGTTTCTCTTTCAGACAGTGGCTTAAGTCTGAAGATATTCAAAGAATATCATTGTTCTTTCATAATAAAACACTAGAGAAGGAGGTAAGTACTGGTACATATAGTGAGACATCTTTATTTAAAAAATTGGTTGATAAAAAGTATTTCATATGGTTTGCTGTTTATTAATGGTTGTCCCTGTTCTCCTGAAGTATAAAATTGTGCCGATGACACAGTAAAAACGTTTATTTTGAGACCAAACACAAATCCCAAAAAACAATGAAAGATGCTAAAACAAAAAACTAAGAAGAATATGTAACATAATCGTGCATTTTTGTTTTAATTGTTAATCACAAAATTAAAGAGTTGGTATTTTCTTTCTGAAACTATTGAAAGGTAAAACCTAATACTGCTACTCAGGAGGACATTTTCATCTGTGATCTATCTTACAATTGAGTTTCCCTTCCTTTCTGCAGTACAGAGCAACTACTTTGCCAGCTTTCAAGTATTATGTCACCTGTGCTTGTGTCATATTTTTCTGCATCTTCGTTGTACAGATTCTAGTCTTGCCAAAGTAAGTATGTTTGTATTGTATTTTATTTATGACATTTGATCTTGCACTTTACATATATAGTAGAACAAAAACAAATTACAAAGATTTCCCGGTGTTTAATCTGCACTGTAACTGGCCTAGAACTGGTTCTAATCTGTATTGTTTCAGGCCCTAAAATACATATCAAACTATGTTATATGCAGGGGGGTTGCAGGGAACGCTGGAACCTAACCTGGCAAGTAAAACGCACAAGGCAGTTTACACCCTGGACAGGACACCCGTCCATTGCAGGGCACACACAGACACACACACACTCACACCAGGGCCAGTTTTCCCATAAACCAATTAACCTACCAGCACATCTTTGCACTGATGCCCACATTAACTCTGTAAAAACATACAAACTCCACGCTATCAGGAATTAAACACGGCCCTAGCTCCACGAGGCAGCAATGCTGACCAATGCTACATTGTGCCACCCAAAAGTTAAAACATTTCTTGTCTTATTCCAGTGAGTTTTAAATACAGTGTACAAGACTTTGTAATGAGAACTAGCATTTATGGCCCATACTGTATGTTGGATGTAGTTAAAGCAGAAATCAGTCTTCTTTTCACCATAAGGTTAATTGTATTTTAAATTGGCATTTCAAATTTTGACTAACCTAAAGTGCATTTTATGTATATGCTGTATTTGCATTTTCTGCTAACTTTTTTGTAAATTCTTTATGCTGTCTGTATATAAAGGATTTGTTTAATACATTTTTCAGAACGCAAGTACTGGGAATTTCTTTTGGAGTAGTTTTCCTTTTACTGTCCTTGATCCTGCTAATCTGTTTTGCTGGCCATGTATTGGTGAGTACTGTGCTCAGAGAATGTGAAATAAGGTCTCACTTAGAGCACTGGTGAGACATTTTTATTAATACTCATATACATGAAGTGATGACAGATGGTTTTCTTGGTCTCTCAACCATGTTCAGCTGTTAAAAAGGCATTTTGTTTGATACCATAAATCAGATCAAGCACAATTTACATGCAAATTTAATTTATTAAGAGTGTCACCTAATTAAGCCAAAGCATCTGAAGTATCAAGAAAAATAACATGCGAGTTTATTGCTAATGGATCTTGTGTAAATGCTTAAATTATTCACTTCTTTTTTCTGTTTTTTATTTTGTGCATTAACTTGAATTTTGTCTATATAATATACATACAGTATGCTTTTATGGTGTTTCATACAGCATGTTGTCTTTTTTGGTGTCCTCCTCCAATTTGAATTGAGAAGAATTATTAGTTCTGAATGCATTGGGTTCTGTGGTTCCACAAAATCGTGGGTTGGAATGCTTTACTATAAAACCCATGGTGTTTTACATAAAGAAAGTTATTTTGAAGTTCCCTATGTTTTAAAGGTTCTTTCCTCAATATGGTATGTCCCATGAATTCTTTATGAAGTATTCATAACTTTAAACACAAACTGTATACACTTTTGAAAGGAGTCTGTTTTATTCTAAAACCGGATATAATTAGAAAAATCTTAATATACTGTACATTAATATTTTGTTTTTGAAACAAAACTGCATATGAAACATTACATTTGATATTTTACCACAGTGTGCTGTTCTAAAGGTGGTATATTTTATTTCCTTCCCCTATTTTTTTTTTCTGAAAATGAATATGGAGCTCTTTTTAAGGACATTTTAGTCATAAAGGTCACATGTCTATTAAATGCATTTGGTTGCTGTTTATTCCACTGCTAAATACTGTATGTTACTTAGATTTCTACTCTAGATTTTTCAGCTCCAGGTCAGCTAGTAAAAACACATAAATGTTTCAGCTTGCTTTTCCCATTACTTATAAAATATGTTAAGGATCAGACAGTGAAATGTTAATATACAGATAATATATATATATAACTCATTATATCTTAAGATAATTTATTTAGTTTCTCATCCAAGTAAGAAATTATCATTATCATGTATAACATCTCAGTTAAATTGCGTTACATACTTTTCAGTGTTTCTTCATACATAGTGGGATTTTAATATATTTACTGTCAGAGGTGATACACTAAACTGAATGTTTGAAATTGCTGCTGTATTTGCAATTGTGTTGAAAAATGTTTTGCATTACATATTACAGTGATCCTTACATGTACTGTATATCTATGAATAAAACACAAACACCTGAGATGTCCAGGATGATCCTTGAAGAAGGATTCTTTATATGCACACTCAGTTCCAACATAATCAAATTAAAAATAATTTACTTTGAAGAACATAAGTTTATTTAAAAAAATTAAATTTAAGTTCTTAAAAATAAGATAAAAGTTTTCTTGAAAGTAAAAACAAATTAAAATTCATTTAATGTTCACATGCATATGAAAGACGCATATAAATATAAGGACAAACATGTAGTGGCTTCTCTCAGTCTTAATTAACTCAAGTAAGATGTTTACCGAACCAGATGTTCCACCACACAGATATAAATGACAGATTTATCTAATTAAATGCACAATGCATAGCGTCTTTGATAACGCCAAAATTGGCAGTTTTCCATTTCCTCCGGTGCAGTGTGCTCGGATGCCTGAAGACTAAGTATGCGACTGTTCGGTGCTCTGAATGTCATTTAATTAGAGCCTTAGGGGTTGACCTGGGAGTAAAAATAGCAGTGTGATTTCTTATTCTCTCATCTGTTCAGCAATGCAGCAAAACAGACTCTACGTCTTGGCTTTGGATTCTAAGATCGTCTGGAATCATTGCCAACAAACCCTGGCCACGGATCACTCTAACTATGACAACAACTGCCTTAATATTAATAATGGCTGTATTCAATATGGTAAGTACAGTAAACACCATGGATTTGAATCATTCATTAGTTAATTTTTATTCAGAATGCAACATGCAGTCTCTGATGGTAAAATAAGCACAGTATATTTCAAAGGTGTTCTTTAACCACCTTAATCCGATATTTTACTCCATGCTGTTTTTTTTATGTCTGGTAATTATCAATTATTTCAATCTTTTGAAAAGGCCTGTTTCTGAAATAAGTTGCCTTAGGAAGCTACTAAATAAGTCCAAATAGATACATTCCAGTCACACAAGAAGACAATTTTTGTTAGTTTTAAGAACAGGTTCAAATAAGAGAAAGCCAGTGTTTCCAGACTGCCATCTTACATCTGAATACAAATATGGTGAAATGTTTAAAATAGTTACCATATGTTAACTCTACAATAAAGGGTGATATGGATAAGGAAGATGGTATACATGCTCTCAGTCCACCCAAAGTTGGTACTGAGTACTGCGTGGATAGAAGCATGGAAAACTGGATGATCATTTACAGAGAATTGAGAATTGGAGAAATATTGGGGTGAAATTAAAATTAATCTTAGTATACTTCCCCCTTCTAACAAAAAATGTCAGTTACCCCCTCTCTAGGTTTGAAGAGAGGACAGAAGCCCCAGACAGAATGAGTACAATATTCATTTACTTTCTACAGACCATTGAAAATGAATACTACACAGAAAATGTTAAAATAATCATGTTAAGCGTCTGGTTGCCTAAAGGAAGGGATATGATCCTTTTTCCCTAAAGAGCAGAAGAGGGGTTCATGGAGTCTCCCCCAGGGTCCACAGGCAGTGCTTTCCGGTTGTTTTCTTCTTCCTTTTCTTACACAAGGCACAGGCGGGTTTATGGACCCAAACGTTGTTCATCTTACAGGGACATGCGCAAATGACCTACACCTACCTAAATGGTCAAGACATTTGTTTTAGCATTGCATCATACCAAAGCACTATAACTTACGAATTATTATGAATTATTTATGTAGAAACATTCAAATAAAGCATTACCAGTATTACTAACATCCCCTAACAAAGTACTTATCAAGCAAAAGAGGAATTAAGTGGGGCAGATAAAATTCAGAATGCCATTAACAGTAGGAGATTTATACTTTGTCATGCCTTGAATTGCGTCCTGTGAGATATGGGAGCCCATGGAAAAATTACCTCTGCAGGAGAACAACTAGGTAAAGAAAAAGTTTAGAAAAACCTTATACCTTGATCAGATTCGGGTGGTTTATCTGTATGTGATCGGTCAATTCTCCCCCTGCATATCAAATAGCTAGAATATCTAAACAATGTTTTTATTATTACCAAGGCTCAAATCGAGTAAGTTTACAGCTTGATTTCCATTAAAATAATTTGCATTATATTTATGCATAACAAATTTGATATGTTTGATAAGTGAATTTATTTTCTAACCATGCAGCCTCAGAAAATGTTATTCAGCATATTTAGAAAAACAAATTGGTTTCTGATTCAGTTTCAGAAATTGTCTTTGTAATCAGATAGCAAGATGGTAGTATTTCTGCATTGTGCACCACAAAAAATATATAATGAATTATAGAATATGATTTATTTAAAATCTCTGTTCACCATATATCTACCAGAACTAGATCAGACATACACTTTTTTAATGCTGTGGATGCCAGAGACTGGATATTCATCTCCTTCGGTCTGTCAAATATATGATTCATGACTGTATTCATTTCTGAACCAAAAATATCAAAGCCAGTGAGGTACAACAGGGATTTAGTCAGGAGAATAAAAACTGGTTCAAGCATCATAAGGGTATAAGCTAAAACAAAATTCTTTTTTTCCTGAAAATTGCCAGTTTCCCTAAGATAATGCTGAGTGACCCCAATGTAGAAATGAAAAAACCAAGACCCCTTTTATTTGTTTCTCTTCTGAATAAATGCCAGCTTGCAAATCTGAACATCTTATTCTTTCAAATTAGAGAACTGTCATTACTGTATCATATTTATGTGTTCATTTTGTCTTTTAGCAATTCTAAAATGCGGTGGAGAATTTACTCTTCATATGCTCCAAGATTAAACAAATACATTACTAATGCACATTAGAATTCAAATTCACTGTTAAAGCAGAATTTATATATTCAATAAACAAAGAATACATAGGAGCTGCAAAATAAAAATAAGTAGGCAAGATTACAGCAGTAAAATGCTTAATCTTGGACCAGAGAAATATCAATATTGAAATTGACGTGCCTAATGACTGGTCCCTTACTCAATCTGGCGGACTTCCTACTAGAGGAATGACTGCATCGATCTGTTTTTTTCAAACCATCAAGAGAGAGCTCAAGTCCAACACAGGTTTACAATTTCAGAAAAGCAGACTATGAAGGACTTATTTTAAGAGACGTAGAATGGGATATGATGTATGCGGAATCAGTAGAGAATGGAAGGTAAAGGGATTATGTTTAAAGCACAGATTTATCCCAAATACTGTAAAACGCCAGAAAAAAAAGTGATCCAAATGGTTTCTAAGAGAAATATGAAGAGAAAAGCAAATGAAATATATTCTGTATATATGAATTATAAGTACACATAAGATACTGCACTAGAATGTCTAAGAGACCGAGATGATAATTGCAATGGAGACTAAATTAATTTTTCAGATTTTTCAGTATTTCATCAGAAAAGGACAGTAAAGGATGAAGTGAAGTGTCTCAGGAATAATAGGAAACAAGATGAAATGATGACAGGAAGATACAGTAATAAGACCACAGTCAATTTCCACCTGGAATGATGTCCCCTCAAACATTTTGTAATATCTCTGGAAGTTTATATAGTACAACTCTGTTTTATGGCTTAAATAAATGTTTCACTCAGGTGATCACTGAGAAAGAAATACACAACAGTCCTTATCCTGAAGAAGTTTTCTCTATATATATATTTTGATTATACTTCTTTTATATTTATATTACACTTTTTTATTTTATAGGTAAGTTAATTAAGAAAAATATTCTCATTTACAATGACAACCTGGAGAGTCATTTACAGTAGAGTGTTTGCTGAAGCAATCTGACTGAAGTATCTTGATCAAGGGTCTTAAATAATAGCAGCAAAGAAGACTCAGAAATGATACAGGTATTAGATGCATTTTAGATAAACAAATCTCAAGGCCCTGAGTATTATATCCACATAAATCGGAAATTCAGTTTGAGAGATCGTACACTATAAAATCAATCTTAGCCCATGTCTTGTTAAAAAGAACATTAATGATGTACAGTAGTTTGCTGACAAAGCCAATACTATCTTCTTTTAAATTTATCTACCAGTACCCAACAAGTTAGATGGGACATTTTCTTGTTTTCTACTTTCTTATGATTCAGATTGTCTACATTAGGGGGGAAAGATTAAATTACAGAGCCCCTTTTTAAATCTTGCAAAATCTTAGCTCCCTCAGCAATGACCAATAATGATTCAGGGAGATATCGGTATGGCTTATTTTCAGCCGGGGAACATTCAACCACAGCAGACCTCACAATATACAGTACCAGATACTGAAATATCTAGGCTGCTTGTTACAATCTTAGTAGCCATTTTCCAATATCATACTGTATAAGAGCATTCAGTATTGGCGAGAACCCATTATGTTGGCTCATATTTGATGTTATCCTGATTTTGTTCACCCAATATTCATTGTTTTCCTGGCTAATTCTACTTATGTACAAAGGAAACAATATTCAGATCTAATGGATTTAAGTTAGTTTTCAGTTTGAAATATTACACTCTCTGTTATTGCAAATTATCCAAGGAGATTACAAGGAGAATTAATAATTATCTATTAAAGGGGATACTTCCTCTCATTACATCCACTGCTTAAATGGTAAACATAATAATACAACATAATAATCACTGTGTCTCCAAACACTTTCTCTTCCATCAAGTCTGTCAAGGTCAGTGCTGCATAACTGGTGAATAAAACTCCATCACTCTCTCTGATGCCACATCAGATGACCTATGACCCACAGAAGACACTGTTTGCCAAAATTCTGCCCCTGATCAGTTTCTGTACTAGCAGCTCATTTTCATGCAGATGGCTGCAATTGTCCAAGTGATTGTCTTCCTAGAATTCCTCATGCTATAGCCACTGCAGTCTGAAAAGAACTGATGTGACTGTCCTGAGCCAGCATGGTAGTAACCCTCTGCCTCTCAGGACATTGTCTCTTGCAGAGAATTTTTGGTTTTACGTGGACCAGTCTGCTGTTTAAACATCTCACACTCTGGGCAACCTATTTTTACAGACAGGTGGGCTCCAATCAAGTTTCTTTAATAGTTTTACTCTATTTGTTCTGTTATACCTTTCCAGATACCCAAAATAAGAATCCTTTTCTGTCATTTATTTGGTTAATACCATGTTTGGTCATCTATTACAAAGTTTTGTACAACTTCAAGGTTTTGTGCTAAAGATGGAAATAAAAAGTTACCATTGCCTTAGAAAAAAAGCTTTGCTGTCTATACCTGAAACATAGGTACATTCAATTCCTCAGTATTTCCATATGTCTTGTAACAGCTTTTCAGAATTGTGTACAGAGACAAGTCTGATTCAGAGCACAAGCTAAATAAAGATCTGTCTGTGAATGGGTCTCTTTTTTGACCTGACTGTCTGACAGACACTCAGTGGCTCTGGTTAAAACTCTAAATACAATCTTCCCCTGTAGGTGTATGACATTCATGTTTCACATGGCACCATCTGTCACTCATAATGATTAGAAAAACAACTGAATTTTTTAAAAATGAATTTCTTGCTCACTACTTCAGTTTTGTGTGGATTTGACAGCTGACTGGAAAATCTGAAAGCAATATTAAAATTGTCTAGGTTAGCCAGGTTAACTTTTTTTTATTTCTGTACATTCAGTACTGTAAATACTCAAAGGTTATATATCTTGTTCATACTTAAATCATTATTTTTCTAAAGCAGTTTTCATAAAATGATCACCCCTAAACAAAAACATGAAAAGGTGTAAATACATAAATGAAAATCGAAGAAAAATACAAGAAATTAATTAAAGAAATGTTAAAGAAAAGTAATACACAAATGATCTTTTCACCAGTTCATAATGTCAGCAGGTTTGGAGTTAGAAGAGGAGCACAGAGCTAAAGGCTTCAGAATTTAGGAGTAATACAAAAATAAATATCCTATAAAAGTTCTTGCCAAAAAATGTAGTAATGAAAGCTTGTTTCAGAGGGTTGTGGCACAAACACTAGCAGTGCTGCCTTCACTCTAGACACCAGGTATGATCGGGGAGAAACCTGAAAACTGCAACCACAACAGGAGACCCTTGGAGATTTATCTGCTCAACGGTGCCCCCACCCCTGTTTATAGACCTTCTTGGGGGTCATAATAGTTTAGCTAAGTGACCTCTGTATGAGCTGATGGCAAACATATTCCACTAGAATTTTCTCAAAGATTTACCCTTCTGTATAATGTATAATTCTCGCACAGAGCAAGAGCCATGAAAGGTTTTTGATTAGTTTCAGGTAGGTTAAGTTACCTTTTTTAGGCCATAGAGGCCCCCCATTTTTTTCTCAACCATCCGACACTGGAGGTGGAAGTGATGTGGTCAGCATCACGCTCCGGCCTGCCTATTACCCCCGGAAGGATTAGCCTCCGGTACTCATTTGGAAAGTAGGTCCTGGGAGCTGTCTGGAAGGAATAAGAGCAAACTACATCGCTTGCCCCTACCTGTGATTGAACCCAGGACTTTTCAGGCGGGAGCTAGATGCCCTTGCCGTCTGAGCTACCACGGCTCTTTTGATTGGTTTTATGAAGTCCAATTTACCAAGATGCATAACATTAGAATTCTTTTACCAGCTCATAACTGATCCTGAATGTAGGAGAGTTAAAGCAGGTAATGTTTAGTCACACACTGAACAGTGGGATAGAGACACCTCAAAGTTAAACAGTTACAGAATATAAAAAGCACAAGTGAGAATATATTGTACTTACAGCTTCAGAGATTTTTCAAAGCGAACTGCCACCTGCAACTTGTTTATAACACAGGGTCCATCTGAATTGCTTGTACAGTGTGACCAAGCTTTCAAGGAAGATGATACTAAAATCCATCTATTTCAAAACCACTTTGACATTGTTCTATTTGTCCAGAATCTTAACTTCAAGTTATTATCTTTATTTTAGCACAGCACCTCCTATAAACAGTGGTGAATTATGATACCCCCAAAAGATTGGCCTCCTATAGAAACTGCCCAGGATTATACAGTACCACTGTAACAGATTCAGTCTTGACCATGAAGTGACAGAGTTCAATCTTAATGTCGGATGATCTCAAAGATTATGATACCAAGTTATTACACCCATCCATATTCAGTAACCACTTTTTCCTTAGAGGGTTGTGGTTAGAGCCTAACCATGCAAGCTATGGGTTGAAGGCAGACCTACACTCTGGATGGGATCTGTTCCTTGAACAAGCAGCAGCAATAATAGCTACACATACAGAACATTACATCATTTTGTTATGTAGATTTCTAGAAGGCTTCTTTAAGACAATTAATTATTAAATTAAACAGGGCAGGAATTCAGGGAAATGTGAGTGCCTGCATTGAGAATTGCTTATTAAATGCAAAACAAGATACAGATAAGGAGGTGAATACATACTCAAATTGATGTGATTTACTGTAATTAGAAGAGTACTGAAATGGTCTATTACAGATTTTAGACCCCTATTCTAGATTTCAGAATAGTTAATACTCTAGTCAGGTTTGCAGTTTACTAAAACAGAAGGATTAGCAAACACTTTAGAAATGAAATTGAAAAACATTTAGATAAAAATCAATACTGGGTAAACACCTGGCAGATTATGTTTAACCTAAAGAAGTGCAGAGTTTTGCATTCAGTTAGTAAAAACAAACTAAAACAAAATGTGAAATACTGAACTAGAAGATACTACTATAGGAATTACTATAGAACACAAATAATTCAATTATTATACATGTGTGTTTCAGAAATTCACACTACTCATAATATCAGTTGTCTTTGCAAATCAGAATTTAATAGTGTATTTTTTTCCAAAGAAAAAACTTTTAATAGGTTTACACATGTTCATGTTAAGATTGCAATATTTTGGCTCTCTTTACAACTGCAGCATTTATCATTTAATGTATCATTTCAGATCAGCATTTATTTTATAGCTTTCTAGACTAATTTTTATTTTTTATTTTATTTTTCATCACCAGTTCTTCTTAGAGGACAATGTTTCAACTTCAGTTCCCATGTTTAACACCTCAAATGAAACTTTGTATTACTCCAATGGCCAAGCACTGCGAGTCATAGAGAAGAACAACTTCTATCTTCCAGTAAGTAATCCTGGTTGATTTTTGTGTAGTGGAAGGAAAAGGTCCTTCATATTCGTACAGTGTACATCCTCATGCTGCTCACTTATCAGTGAGATGACGAAACAGTTAGTTCATGGATGCCCAATTCACCAGACTTGAGCCCCATTCAATATTTGTGGGATGAGCTGGGACAACATGGGATCTAGGACTCAGAGACCAGTAAACAGGCACTTGTTTGTCCAGGTTCCATAAAAAGAATGCAACAGGATTCCAGACACAAAATCATCTGAAATCTGATGAAAAGTAATTTTTGCACATGCTTAGTTTGTATAGCTTCCGAGAGTGCCATAATAATATAAAAGTCATAGGTCCCTTCAGTTGTACAGTATAGGTATTTAAGCACCACAAAAAAAAACATTTTTTTAAAGTTTGTTTTACAGTTTGCATAAAGTTTGTGACATTAACAATATAGCTACTTTTGTAAAGTCAGTGGAATCCTATTGTTATTGTGTTAAAAGTGTCAACTAATATCTGTGAAAATATTATATTGAGAAATGAGAATTCACATCTAACCTGGAATTATTGGAAATAATACCTTAGTATTACGTATTCCACAGGATTAAGAGTCTAACAAGATGGCTCAGTTGTCTCTTGTTGCCAGACTATAGGAACAGGTGAACAACTGTTCTGTTTTTTAGTAAATTCCTAACTACTTAGGATTAAGTTTAGACAATTTAAATATCTTTCTTATTAACTCAGGGAACACTAAAAAATGTGTGAGTGAAAGTCCTGCAAAGTATGTGAATCAATCTGCTGTCCCTTCTAGAAAAACACTAAATAGGATAAATAACAAATAAAAACTGTAGAGTCAAATATTTTAAAACCATAGTAACAAAATATCTGTAGAGTGTCTGGAGTCACTTATATTGTACTTATATTTTTCCCATTAGTATTTCATATACAGCTGTATTCTTGGTCTGATATCCTGTTCGGTGTTCCTGAGAATAAACTATGAGCTGAAGATGATAATCATGCTGGCAGCGGTGGTTGGCTACAATGTCATCATCCTTCAAACTCATGCTTCTGTGTTAGACGAATATAGCAAGTTCCTGTATAAAACGGAGATTTTGGAAAGGTAGGACATACTTATATTATTTTTGATATAGTAATAGTAGTTTTTGAGGAGCTATCTACACTTGGTCTTTGGATGAGTAAAATATCCATAATAGAAAACCTAAGGTACTTTTTACCATATAAAGTCTTATAGTGGTGTAAAATCCAGGTTCATTCTTTTCCTTTATAGTCACCATGTGTTTTTGTAGAGCTACAACACAATTATGAGATGCTACTATCATGCATTAATGATACAACACATTCATGATGTCAGTGTGTCATGATTTGATCACAAGATTGTGAAAGAAGGTCACATACCACTGTAGCTCTCTTATAATGGCAGCTACAACAACAACCAAAATACCATCAACAAAATAAATAGTTTGCAAGCAGTTTTGGTCAACAGGTTACATGAATATGGCATTTCTGACTTAGATTTGCACTTTAAACTGTAATGCCATGGGAGGTGGGGTCTGCCATTTTCCACTACATCAGAGTTTTTAGTTGTGTTCACTAAGATGGCAGCAGAACAATGCCAGTTCTCAAAATGGTGGCGTAGCATATTTACTGGAACACGAGACAGGTGTGTGCCTAAATGTATAGATTTGGATACATTTCAGTCATGCAGTTAGCTATGCTTTTTTTACATTGCAGCTAACCATTCATCCATCTTCTAACTGATTTATCCAATTCAGAGTCGCAGGGGAACCGGAGCCTGCAAAACAAGTTAGCAAAACAAGTTACACTCTGGACAGTACCCCGTCCATTGCCGAGCAGACAGACACAAACAAAAATATGCACACACTCACACCAGGGCCATTTTACCCAGAAACCAAGGTAACTGGCTTCTGTAAACCCAACAAAAATGTCTGGAGATGATAAGGTGAGAGCTATTAATCTAATAAAACATTAAACTAATCAAACAGATTTCACTATGATTGGAACATTGGTTAATTACCAAGGGTGATCTGGTGAAAAAAACAAACTCAGTAAATTAATTCATTACTTTGAAAGAAAGGCAAACATATTACAAAAATAAACAGGAATGATAACTTACTTATACTGAATACACTGATTTGTTAACAGCAACTAATCATACTTGTTTTCCCAAACTTGTATTCAGTGTTGTTGTTAGTATTTTTCTTATTGGAGCACTAAGCAATCTGAACTTTCTTTATTTGCCTTACAGAAGGTAATGGTTGCCTGTAGCTTTCCTAAAGCTATACAATGCAATTAAATGCTTATTACACTTATAGAACAACTGTATTCATCAGCTTTCTAATGTGTTATTGTATTGTATACAGTATTTGTTTTTATATATTTTTATAGTGAATGTATGCTGTACCCCAACACCCCCAAAATATGAAGGGGATTATTCTTACTTATATGCACACAATATAATAGCTGCTGTGCATTAAATAATTTCTAAAATTGCATTAGAAATCTAACAAATACTGCTGATATTTCACTATTGAGACTCCATTGAGTGTACTAACAAAAATACTGTACTATCTGGGGCTGTTTTGTGCTTAATATTAGGCAGAGTTCCATTACTCCCATAACTTCATAGTCCCTTGAATCCTTTGTATCACTAAGATACAAACAAACTGTTGTCCACAGTATGTTCATATATCCTCAGGGCCTCATTTCTCATTCGTATGCCTTGTGAGATACAACTGACATACTGTAAACTGAGCACTTTAGGGTATTTCATTGTTGGCGTTCTACAGTATGTCTATCCTGGGGACTGTGGGTTTTAATTGAGATCCCAGCAAACAATAAATTTCCCAAATTCTCTTTATTGCTGATGGGTTATGGGGGTTCATGTATTATTGTCGTAGATGCAATATTATTTTTCTTATTGGCGAAAGAAAAGTACAGGGGTTATGAGTATTTTTCCTGGGTTTGGAAATTATTTTCTGTTCTCTTTACTCATTCTAATTGAAATCATTTGGCATAAATTTGCAACAGTGGTGATGAGTGATCGTATCGGGTACTTTTCTAGATATACTTTTTTTATAAATATTATTTTAACAGCAATAATACTGAAACGGGGAATAGGTTGTGAGGGTTTAGTGAAGCATTCACTAAGTCCACTGTTTATATTATAGTTAGGTAAGAGAGCAGGGAATCTGTTAAAGTAATTCAAAAGGGCAGTCAGTCCATTGTTTTGTTCAGGGAAATTTTAGAAGATGTTCTTTAAAGACTCACTGCAAATAGATTTTTTTTTTGTCAGCATAAGAAGCATTTAAAGGTAGTCATAGAAAAATAAACATTAAAATATAAAAGATGCATATATGACTGTTGACTTAAATGTTTAAGGTAAAATACACCAATATCAAAGTGAAAAGGTTATGCTTTGCATTGGAATTGTACCCCTTAAAGGAAATTCAACAGTAATGAAAAGCATTGGTCTAGTATTAACTTCAACCAATGTGACTGTTTGATATTTACTGCTCATATCTTTCAGCTCAGGCATCATACAGCCTGCCCTTTATGTTTTATTAGAAGCTGCAAGAAAGGAACATTTTCTAACGAGGCAGGTTAGATGTGTTCAACATCTTTTCTGAGGATTTCACCTACAGAGGAATCTTTAGTTGCTCAGACCCCTTTACAGCTAATACTAATATTCCTCAAGAATAAATCACAGTTCTAAATGCCACCTTTAGCGTGGCAGATGGCTTTGCACCTAAAACTTTACGCCAGAAGTCTAATTCCCTTTTTGGCGCAGTGATTATAACCCCTCTCAGTCGATTCCGGTTGGCCGGGTACGATCATTAACCGTCTTCTTATTTATCGGCGTCCAGACCCTGCTCCCCTTGTTAACACTTCATAACATTTTATCGGAGCAAGCTGTCAAAAACCTAAACACTCCCTAAACACTATAGTTTTTCTTAGGTTTCTTTTTGGTTCTCACTTTTAAAAATAATTATAAAAAATAATAACAGACAACATCCGACTGCTTCGAGAGCACTGAGAGCAGGTATTTCCAGGTGCGATCAAGTCTGTGATTTCTTAGTGGCAAAACACCCCGCCCCCCGTGACTCAGCCCTGTCTCTGACATAGAGTATGCTCTGCTTGCAGTCAACATAACATGCATAAAACTGTTACACCTCACTTCCCAAAACCATTTTTACTGTACATTATTGTTGTTTTCTGTGAATAAATAAAATAGAGATGTCTGTCTTGATATATATTTTTTTTAATTTCCTGATTTCAGTAACACATAATGATTTAAATTTAATGTAGTCCGTAATCACTCCCTAAATTATATATTACTGTATTTTCTTTCCAGGCCTGGTGTTCTTAAAGACCTAAAGACAATGGGGTCCGTCTCTCTTTTTATCTTCTTCATTACACTCCTTGTGTTGGCTAGGCAGGTGAGATATTGTTTTAATGACTTAACTGGCACGTTTATGTACAGTATATAACATTTAGTATGGTATATATGGTATCGTGCACTCAATTTCAAGTCAAATGTTTTCGCTAATGTCCTGCAAATAGATAAAAAATAGATATAATAACAAAATCTGAAAAGTAGCCTAATTTCTTTTCTATTCTTTGTACTGATGACTTTTTATTTCCTTTTCATTTCATCATACTGTGAGAATTTAACATCTCCCACTGAGAGGTATAATTTGAAATGCTGGAAATAAAAGGAATGAATGTTGCTGTAATAGTACAAAGAAGTGCTTTATGTTCTGATTAATTGTGAGTGCTATTTTTTATTAATTGTATCAGTAATTTGAAGAAAGTGATTCACGATGTGAATCTCTTCATGTGTAGGGAACTTTTGTTAAAATCTAATATCTTTGGTCTCAGCAGAATAACTGAATACCTTCACATGTGTCCATAAATATATATATATAGCATTAAAATATTAATGGGACTAATATCATGTCTCAATATACAGTATACTGACCTAGACCAAACGTTTTGAGTTGGATAACAGACTAAAAAAGAAAATTAGTATTAAAAAAAATGAGTATTAAAACATGGTTATTAGGACCCACAGTTCCAGTGAAGTGAACCAATAGTTGTCTCTATTTTACTAATCTTACTATCTTACTAATGCAATGTAATTCAATGATAATAATCTCCTGTGACCGTGGTAAAAATAAAAACTTTGATTTGGGCCAGATCACTGCATACCAAAATCAGCCTTTAAATAATGAGTTCTGCATTAAATGATTTTGTGCATCATGTTTGAATTGATAACAATAATGTTAATTAATTTAAACAGAATGTAGGAGGAATTGTGAGAAAAAAAATAGGAAAATGCATCATAAGCTACAACAATGCTACATATTGCTAACCACAGTGAATTTAGAACATTCTAATTTAATTTAAAATATCAGTACCTACATGATAATACATGTAATGCATGAACCATTATTAAACTCAATATAATCCATCCATTGCTTAGAAATGAGAAACCTCAAAGTCACTTCTGAGAGTTGTGAATTAATTATGAATCACATTAGTCTTAGCTCCATTGGTTATAGTATTAAGAGTCAGTGCTGAGTAAATGGTACAATTTTACAATGATAATAATTTAAAACTCATTAATCCCTCTTCTTAAATTAACATTGTATTAAAAATGTGCTACACTAGCCTGCCTGAATTACCCCAGGTTCTATAATGAATAATGTTAATTCATTTTTATATTTTAATTTTGTTATTACTTTAGACAGAAATTTATCTTTGTATATTATTTGAACATTTTTTAAATTGTTAACACACCTTATCCACATAAAAAAAATGAAAAGACATTTCTTGTACTTAGGTTTAATTATTCAAAGAACATTGTTTCAATGTTCTTTCTCAAATTAATATTCAATTGTATAAATTATTAATATCAGTAAATTCTTTCATTTTAAATGTACATTTATTCAAAAACTAAGTGATTATATGTAACCATGTCATTTCTGCTTAATAAAGCAAACATTTACTGTAAATATATTTTAATATCGATACTTAGAAAGAAAAAAACTGAAATATTTGAATATATTATTTAATGTAAATGTAAAGTAACACCACTAGTGAGTGAGGAGTGTTGGACTGTTTGGAGGATGAGTGAGTGTGTTTATGATGTTTTGTCATTTAACGCAGCAAGGTGCTCAGATGCCTACTGTTTCTTTACCTCTGTGTCCTCTTGTAACAGAATGAATATTACTGTAGGTTAGACTTCCTCTGGAAGAACAAATTCAAAAAGGAATGTGAGGAGATCGAGACCATGGAGAACCTGAACCGGGTGCTTCTGGAAAATGTCCTCCCCGCCCATGTCGCTGAGCATTTCTTGGCTCGCAACTGGAAAAACGAGGTAAAAACTAATCCGTAGAATCAGAGATTATATAATAACACTGAATTAAATTATTATACTGTATCTATTGAAAGATAGAACATTTACATATGCATCTGTGTTTAAAATCTCAGAAACCAATTAAATGATATTAAAACAGAAATTGACAGATTTGTTTAGTATGTGATGTGTTTTTTTTACCTATTTATTTTCTTTTGTGAGCAGTTCTGTTATTATTGCAATAGCAATAGTGAAATTATAGTCCATGGTAGATTTTCTAAACGTCTAATTTATTTCTATATGACTTAGTTTTGTTGATTGTCACTGTGAAAATAGTAAATGGGAGATTTAATGAGCTACAATAAAATGGAACCCCTTTCCATAAGAACTTGAGACTACTGCATTAAAAACACCATTTCATGAGTGATCTGAAATCTAACATACAGTATTACAATGGGTTATGTTAAGTAGCCATGGCTAGAATTTATGAGCTTCTGTTGCCAAATTGGCTGAATACCTCCAGGTTTGTGTGCAACTGAGTCTGTCTGGGGATCTTTAGTGTGTTGCACAGCAGAACTCATTGTGGTTTGCCAGGTGTCTACAGACCTTCACTGCTATCATCAGTGAGAGCTACATTGCTTTCTCACGGGAAGCTAACGTGGCTGTTGGGTTCTTGGGGCATGTATAGAGGCAGAGGTCCTGCCAATGTGTTTCAGGAAGATGTGCATTTTATGAAGATGTCCATATCTTTTCTGTGCTAGTAAAAAAGATGTTAATGAAAACATGATGGTAATTGACAATTCCAGTGTGGAAGTTAATCACTGAATAATAATTGACAATTCCAGTATATATATCAAATAAATACAGTACTGTAGTACTCCAGGCTATTTAGAACTGTAGTGGTTTGATGTTGCATTTTTTGTAGTTACAGTAAGTAAAGGCCTATTTTTTACGCATTTGTTCCCAGGACTTATATCATCAGTCCTATGACTTAGTCTGCGTCATGTTTGCCTCAATCCCGGACTTTAAAGAATTCTATACGGAATCTGATGTCAATAAAGAAGGACTGGAGTGCCTGAGACTACTTAATGAGATTATTGCAGATTTTGATGAGGTATTACATGTTCATGTCTCAATTTGTAGTTTCACAAATTATATGAATTATCTAAAAAAATCACAATTTGTATTATCTAAAACATAATTAGATTATAGTAACTTTTCTATTTTGGAATTAGCATTTTAAGCATTGACATTCTATAATGAAAAGCATCTTTCAAGTTTACTGTAAAAATGTGTATTTGTGTGTATTTGAATTGTTTTTTTTTTTACTTATACCAGTGTTTGTTTGTGTGTAACATTAACTATTGTTTTGATTTTTGAGCTCGTGTAAAATAATTAGTTGGAATGTTTTTATTTACTCCTGCACTGCAATCCACAAATGACTATATTTTAAAATACTACAAAAGAATACTCAAATATCAGCAACATGTGCTGTTGATATCGAGACAGAATGTACTAGTTCATTTGGAAAATTCAACACCCGTGGAAGAAGTAACCATTCAGTCCTGATCTTCTGTCAGGAGAGAAAGCATTAAGGCTGTTAAAACTAGAATATAAATCCTCTGCAGAACATCAGACAGGAAGAATAAACAGCACTGTCAACATTATCAGACCATAGTGCCGTATTTGATTACATTCTAAATGGCTTTCTAACAGTTGCTATCTAAGCCGAAGTTCAGTGGAGTGGAAAAAATCAAGACGATAGGCAGTACCTATATGGCAGCAACAGGACTGAATGCAACTCCAGGACAAGAATACACACAGGTATACTTTGTCTGTTTGCCTGCAATTACTTCTCATCATGACTGTACTTTCAAACACAGCTGTGGTTAATGCTTATATAGACCTTTTGTGCTATCAAATCTATATTTTGAATGTCACTTAACTACCTTTTATGCATTAACTGTCCTTATTAAAATTATTTCTTATGGTGAAACTGTGAATTGTAAAATTGAGAAATCTAGCTTCTAATTCTCCCATTCCCTTTCCAGCCCATAGATGCAAAGGATGAGTAATTATAGATTTAAATAAACAGAACCTGTGGTGTTAAGCACATTATAAAACCTTTGGAAAATGTATTATACTGAATTAAAGTTTAAAAAGGATGAGAATATGTTTAGCTTGCAAAGCCAAAAATAAATTCTGGCTCCTGCCCCTTGAGGCAGTAAATTACACATTACAAATCAATATCATTAGCAATTTTCTTTGGGAAGGGCCTTTTCTTAAGACTTTTGGTAATTATATTTTCATAGCAAGAAAAGGTTAAAATTATTTAATAAAGGAATATCTGTAAATTTCTCAATTAAAAAATTATGTGAAAGATGTAAAAGTATAATGAAAGTGGTTGTCAATTAATGCTTAATTATTCATTTCATATAGATATTTTGTTAATATCTCTAATCTTGACTTATTCTTTTGTGCTGAAGGTTTTTACCTTCATAATGGAGGTTCTATAGTGAACTCAGACAAAGATAACTAATTATATTTTGGATGTAAATATATATGATAAAGATAAAAGGGCATCTTATTTAAGAAAAGATTAGAAAAGTAACACAACAACAAAGAGAATGTTATATTTTTACACTGTGTATGGCAAGAATGCTTTATTCTTGAATTTACTAAATCCATAAATAATCATATAACAATCAAATAAACATCGTCCCAGCTGTATATTGGATAAATCTTCATCCTCATTTTAACCTCAAAGATCAGTGAATTATTCAAATTATAGTGGGAATGAAAACTACAAGGTTTAGTTTAAATAGATTTAAAAACAATGAAAGAGGTTGAAACAGTTATATTGCATACAAAGCATCTTCAGACAAATCACCTTGCTCCTGGCATAATCTCATGCTACAGGAGAAAACTGTCATTCTGGAAAACAACAAATTTATTAGACTCAGTCATATGTTTTGTATACCTACTGTATATTATTGTGAAAACTAAAATTACTTTGTATTGACAATACACTGATACAACAGCATGGATATATACTGAGCATCAAAAGCATTACCATTTTTGTGCATGTGTATTTTCATGGTTGGCATCATTTCGATTAACATTTGAGCATTCATGATTCGATTAACATTTGATCGTTCACTTCAGTGACTGAGACTTTTGTTTATGCACTAAATTACCTCATCAATGATAGATTTTATTTGGCATAGGTGATGTGATGTACTGTAACCTGTTGACTGTCAAACATGCTGAAAATCATGAAAGAATAGTACCAAATGAAACCAATATTCCCCATTTATTAAGATAATAATGCTCATACTACAGCTTTATATATCATATATGTTTGTTAATAAAGTTTCTCCTCCCTGTGTGCTATCACTTTTTAATCAATATGTTTCTATAAAGAGGTTCTTGTGGAAAAAAATGCTTAAACATTTATGAACAATCCAGCATTTCTTTATTTTGTTTTATTTCAAGAATACCAAGCTTCAATTACCTATCACAGAGAACCTATGAAAATCAAAGACAGAAATTCTAGTGATTCATTTCTACATTTATAATAAGTAACTATGTATAACCAGTCATGACATACCAATAATTTCCAAGTAAATGTCAAACTGTTTCTTTCATTTTCAGGAACACGACAGGCAGTATATGCATATCGGTACAGTGGTGGAGTTTGCCTTTGCACTGGTGGGAAAGCTTGACGTAATTAATAGACATTCCTTCAATGATTTCAAGCTCAGAGTAGGTAGGTGCATAGTTAGAAAACTGTTCTCAAATATATAGTCAACTTAAGTTTCATTCTATTTTGTGTTTATGCTGAAAAAGATGCCTTATTGAAACTTCAATCTGCTGATGCTGTTTTTTAATGTGGCAATTTGTCCTTTCCACTCCACGATAGGGATAAATCACGGGCCTGTGATTGCTGGAGTGATTGGTGCTCAGAAGCCACAGTATGATATATGGGGGAACACAGTGAATGTGGCCAGCAGAATGGAAAGCACTGGGGTGCTTGGAAAAATACAGGTAACTAATGTTATGCTTACAGTTTAATGGCATCACAGAACACTCTTAATTCATTTTTTCTGTCATGACTTTGTATAGGTTTCAAGGGCAACTTCAATACTATCTTAAATGTATGTATGCAGTTACACTAGTTGTATTGCCTTTTATCAGATTGCTTCAGCTTTGTCTAGTGCCATACTTTAATTTTTAATTTCACTTGCATGAATATGTGAATGCATTTTAAGATCATGTAACTACAGGAGGTGGTAAGCATCCCACAGGTAAGTACTTCACAGTGTTTCTGGATGGTCGACTTTAAAATGGGACTATTAATGACATAATAACATTTTAAATTAAGTTTTATAATTGTTGCAAATATTTTCCCCCAAAGGTTACAGAAGAGACAAGCAAGATCTTACAAACCCTAGGATACATGTGCACATGCCGGGGAATAATCAACGTTAAGGGAAAAGGGGAGCTAAAAACCTACTTTGTTCATACAGAAATGCCCAGATCACTTTCACAAGGTAATGTAATGCCTTGAACAGTACAATCTGACTGCATATCAGGCCATCTGCTTGGCCCTGTCAGGGGCTGATAACATCAAAACCACAGTATCTGTATATAGTTCAGTTTTGTCCTTAGATGCACGAATATTGGATGTATTTACAAGTGGTTCTGTTTCTTTTTCACAAGCAGTGGTTACCCTGAGAGTACTCTGGATTTGCAGAGAGTGTAATTACACAAAGCCAGGAACAGTTTTGTAAAAAATAAAAAAAATAAAAAATGTGTTTTAATGTTTTATGCCATTGTTTTGTAAAACTTATTCATTAAAATTTGTATGTATTTGAACTTTTCTGAACTTTATCTCTTGAAAAAAAATCTGGGATGAGGGGAAAATTTGCTATTTTTTTATGCTAAGTACAGGATATTCATGTCATAAATCTACCCAAACATAAAAGTACTCACAGATTAAATAAGATGGAAAAGACAGTGTTATTTAACAGTTAATAAAAAGTTAATTTAACAATGTAATGTTAACAGTTCTTATCTGTTTTCAGATTGTCATATATAATTGAAGATAACACTGTGGTAAGGCCATCATTGAAAAGATTTGTTTTTATTTCTGGTGAATTATCATAAAATACTCTCTGTTGTCTTGTAAACATTATTTGAAATGTGATGTTTAAAGGAAAATATTAAGACAATCTAATTTTATGAATGATACACTTCCAGGCATGAGTGAATTTAAATTTAATGTGAAACTAATCATGATCACAAGATGCATTTTAAAGTGTCAGATAAAAAGAAATAATTATATACATTATTTATAGACATCATGTCTTTTTGGAAAGGCCAACAGGCTGCAAATTCCTGGTGTACTACAGTAACGTCTCTCACATCAACACCAAGTCACAGTATGTTTTATCTTGGATTAACTGGGCTACAACAGTCATAAAATACAATATCTTAAAGTAACTAAAATATTCATACATCTACACTGTCCCCAGAATTCGAACAATGAGCTATGTTGTGCAGTTCAGACAGAAGTGTAATTATCTGTGAAAGGCACAATTGTTGAACATTTTGGATTTGTATTCATATTCTTCTGGCATGTTTGAAATACAAGAAATAGAGCAGTGCTTAACATTTTGATGTTCTACTTTCTGTTTTTTTTTTTTTCCAGTGAGTATCACTTAAAATATAAATAATCTGAACAAAATATCTAAAATAAATACTCATAAATATTTTTGACTGAAATTATGTTTTAAAATGTGTTCATTCCAAATAATAATTTGGATGATCTTCCAAAATATTGCCTTTATTCTTCTTTAGTATATAAGTGTCTTTAGGTTAATTTACCTTTTTATAAAAAATAAAACTTCAATACAACTGGTTAATATGATTAAATTGTTTCTGCTCTGAAAAGGTGGCACAAGAGCATATACTGTAGTTAGTGGTTGCGAATGCTCCATCTGCAAACATCAAATGAACTAACGTAAGTTGAGAATGATCGCAGTATAAACATAAAGACAACTCTGAATTAACATTTATGTAATTGGTTTATTTGACATTCAACTCCATTTTTGTTCCATTCATTAAAACAATACCAAGTTACATTATTCACCAGATGTTATATTTAAAGTGTTTGGAGAGATTATCTGCTACAATCATGAGTTCATGCTTTTCTGAGACATTCTGAGTCAGTTGGGAAGACTTTATGCAGGAGTAACAGACCCATAACCCTCTTCAACGGAACGATGGATTCCATTTTTACTGAAAAATTCAGAGCGGATGTGTCCAACTCTCACATACTGCCGTCCTGGTTTAAATATCTCAAGAGGCAAACGTCTTCCATATTCCGAAGAGGACAGAACCGGTACAGATCTTGATGTTTCCTGAAAAATGAGCACTAAGCTGTTATTTCTACAAGCTAAAATTTGGGCAGTTGATATGGTCAAGTTTTTGAAAATCTGCCTTACAGTTTCACTGCGATACCTGCTGATAAAGTACCAGCCAAAGCTGATCTTCCTCTTGACTGCTGTATCCTTGTAATCACTACTCATCAAATTCAGAAGATGGAAGGAGAACTTTTGGTGATATTGGCTTTTGAAGGTATTGTTATATTCTTATAGTTAACAGTATCCTGCTTTAATCATTTCTAATCCACTTCTGTGTTGGACTGCTTCACATTTTTCTTTTCTTTATGACACATTTTTCCATGTGGAAATCTTTTGTTAATGGATATTCTGTAAGCATAATTCATTACAAATCTCAGAATATATGGTTTAAAAAAAAATTATGTTTCAGACTGACTGTCTCATAATTCAAGTTTAACTCTAGAAGGGACTCTGTGCACGGCACACAAAGCAATTATCAAACCTGTACAATAAAATAATATTTTGTTCATTTTATTATAAAGATGTCAGGTTCAGGATACACTTTATATATTCAATTAACAAACATGATCAGCGTTTAATATAGTTATACAGTGGCTATAAAACTTAGTTTAGCATGGAAGTTGATCAGATATACGTGTATAGAGTGGATTGAAAACATTATATAGCTTTAACACATACCTCCTGGTGCATGTGCAGCCCTCGGCTCTTGGCGTGTTCTCGGTCATCTCTGTGTAACTTCTCGTTATAGCACTCAGTGCGCCGAAACAAGCAATCATATGTAAAGATTTCCCGGGCCTGTTGTTGAAGAATCAAGGGTGCTTCTCATAAGTCTTAAATATTAGCATTTGTCAGTTTTTAGTCATTCGATAAAATAAAGATAGCGATTATATCAGAAACACTTCAATAACTTTAATCAAATTATAATCTGATGCAACGAAGCATTTTTAAAAGCTTTTTAAACGGAGATTCAAACGGAGTTTTATATCATTTAGGCTACATAACATTAATTACTAATCAAACTCTACACTACTCAACGTGAAAAATGTGGATTGAAATGCACTTTTTACCTCCGTTTTAGTATTGAAATAATTAAGCTCTTTTGGATCAGTTCTTCTCGGCGGGATGTAGCTAAATGCAGATAAGGAAGAAAGGGTTGCGGGACAGTCTTTTGATGATTTTTCCATTGTATTTTTTTTAATTACGTTGTCTTGTCCCTCCAAGATTCCAGAACAACTCGCAGTCACGCACCAAAGAAACGAGCTCCCCGCGTCCTTGGTTGCTAGGAAACGAGACCAAGTGGATACCACGTTGCAAGCTGGGGGAGTCTGTTTCACCAGTTGAAGATTAACAGCCTTGCTTTTCGCCTCACTGTTTGATTACTTAAAAAAATAAAACAAAGGTTTAATGGAGGGACAATAAGTAACATTACTGCTTTAAAGATTTCGAAAGGGAAAGACGAATCTTTTTAAAGCGCTCAAATTAGTCCCCTATCTCAATGACGTTAACGATTCGTAGTGGGCAGATCGGTCCCACAAAGACGAGGCAAGGAAAAATCCATCCATTTTAGCGACCGATTTATTATTTTTTTATTTCTTTTAATTGCGTGCGCCTTGTCAGGATGTACTCTACTGTACCTCCCTGAGCCTGGGAGTTAAGCTCCAGCTCAAATTGACCCTGGAACCAAACTGGACTTGATCTTAGACAAAAGACCGAGACGTACGTTTTCAAGCTTGAAATAGTGAAATGGGTCCAACTCAAAATACTTTTAAGCATCCAAAATTTGAATTACATTACCTCATTATTTATTTACGCTGCTCAGAACTAAAAGACATTGCTTCTTTCCTCTGAACACACTGTGCACATGTAATGTAAGTGCCACGGTACCATTTGTGCCATGTGATTTGTGTAAATGACCCTAGTCCTTGAGTTATGTTTGTTTTTCCATATTGAGGTCCTTCTTTAATATAAGATTAATATAATGTCTTGTGGAAACCTGTTTAACTTTTTTTCTCAAGATGTTTGCAATATAATTTTCATCCTCTGCAAGTACCCCATTATTAGCTCTTAGATATTTACCAACATGCTATAATTTTTTTAACTCATGCTTTTCTTTTTTCTAAACAAGAATTAAAAAAATACTTTTAGTTTTGGCTTCAAGGGCTAAACTTTTTCCTAGCTTTTGTAATAACTTTTGCATTTTAGTGGTCTTTTGTATTGGTCTGATGAAATTAAACTGGAGCCACAAGCACTGATAAAGAATTAAGTTAAAACAGATTAACAGAATTCTTTACCTCAACATAACCCAATAATGTCATCTATATTAATTCTGAGTATTTACAGAAATGTAACTGCGCAGATGAAGCAATTTAATAGTTCTGTAAATGTTTTGAATTTTTTCTCATGGTGACATTGACACTAAATGTATCTAATAGTTCTTTCAGTATTCATATAGTTCTATGGACATTTTGTGGTTCCTTATTTTTGGAGATGATGGTACTTTCTTGCATTTGTATAATATGTACAAGATTACACTGACTGCCAAGACAACATGGTTAAAAATTATATTTTTACAAACAGGGTCATGAAAATAGTGTAATGAAAGTAATCAGGATCTCTGTTTAACATTTCAGGGCAGTTTATGGTTTGCTTTTGAGTTCAAATTTGGATTTTTAAATATATTTAATCTTTTTGTGGTTATATATTCTATTTTTTTTAATCTAAGGTTCGATTTCGAAGGGTCAAAATTGTGATCCTTGGCAGAGATTTTACCTCTGTCATTTGTTAGATCTCTCACGTAATTATCGTTACAAAAAATCAATTATTTAGTCATTAGTTTGTGTGTTACAGGATACTGTTCAACACAGAGAATAAAAAGTGAAAATCATAGCAAAATACATGGAAGGCTAAAGTTAATAAACAGGGCTATGAATTGCATGAACTCCTTGATATAAAGGCATTTTCTGGTTTTGTATTTGAAACATTTAATAGTAATTTAAGTTTCAAATGCCTGCTAACTGGTCAGTTCTTGTACACCCTTACACATTGACATAATATACTGCATATAAACATTTACACAAATGGAGAAAAGTAATGATAGAAAAGGATACAATGTAAACACTACAACTAAAGTATGCTGCATTGTTTAAGGAATACCAGCTGAATGTAATATTATGGTTTGCAGTTCAACCACTGTAAATGTGAGAGTCATCTTTTGTGAGGAGCACAAGGTTCTCATGAATATTTGCATCTCAATAGGGCTAGCCATTGGCATATAAAAATTCATGGATTTTTTTTTTAATTGTTCATTTCATGTCATTCCTAAGTAAAAATAATGATTACACCATTCAAACAAGTATATGACTTATTTCTATGGGAGTAAATATGGTAACTTTTTATGTTGATTTTACAGACATCATATAGTCTAAGATTAGTACTAATCAGGCTATAGGAAACCAGCCCTTAAGTATGAACAAAATGATTGCATTTTCTATTTCATTAAAAAAGTCCATCTGCTCCCTTCACCACTTAATCCAGTTTTCTGGTTGGAAAAGTATTGACTACATTTTGAGGGACAGTCACTGTGAATTTTGAAAAGGTTGGTCTTGATTAATGTCTCTGAGTTCTTTTATCAAGCAACAGCAGAAATGGATAGAGCAAACAATATGGGCCTCATAAAAGATTAATTGCAGGTAGTAGTCATGTAATGACACATTAATTTGAAATAAGCTAGTCATACCCCCATTCATCAGACCATGAATAATCACACAAGATTACTTCTAATAACGCTAATCTTCAATTAGTAAACATAACAACACGGTATGGCTGGCTATCAGTACCACCTATCAAACTCAAATTCCTTCCAGTATTTAGGAGCTACCTTCTCATCCTCCTGTGCTCAGTCTAGGTTTCTGTACTAGTCTGCGTGTTCTCCTGTTACGTACCTTCTTGTGTACCAACCATGCTTGCCTGCCCGTTGTGCTCCTGATGTTTCCATACCTCTTCGTACTTTCCCCTTGGTGCCTTACCCAGGGCTTGCCTGGACTTTTGAGTTGCACCTATTCATTCTGGATGAAATTTTGGCTTGAGTTTACTCACTGAACATGTGCTTGAATACTGTCCCCTGTCTTGGACCGCTTCACCATTTCTGTATGTATCAGGGTATAACAGATTAATGTTGAAATGGAGATCGAATAAGGAGTGAATGTTCCAATAAATGTGATGCAAATAGCAGAGAACCACAGGGACCTGTATTGGGACCACTGTTCTTCCTGATTTACATCAATGATGTAGATTCTGGCATAATTTCAAACTATGCTGGCAGATGACATTTAAATGCACACACATGCACAGTGTTACTTGGAAGGACAAAAGCAACCTAAAATATGAACTGGGAAATAATGAATTCAAAGAAGGTATCTATGAAAAAGCCTTAGGCTATAATGTTGACAACATTTTCATGTTATACTTATGGGGAAACAGGAAGAAAGGCAAATGTACAAGGCCATTTAAGCTATTTTACATCATTGTGTTGCCAGCCACCCCCCAAAAAATATTGCTGCATAGAATCTGCCCAGATAAAAAAAGCAGCATGGTACATTCCAGGGCCCAAAATTTACATCGTAGTCCAACAGACTAAAAAAATAAATCTTTTTATTCTCAAACAGAGAAGACTACAAGAGACATGATTCCAAAACCACCAATAAAACATGAACCAGATGTCAAAAGTGGAAACTAAAGGGGAGGCCATTTATAACTAAGAACAGGAGGTTTTCTCTTTATAAAAAGGTTGGTTGAAGTTTTGAACATACTGTACATCCACACTGTCAAAGCCAATGCCATCTCTTCTTTCAGGAAACAGTTGGATGAAATATAGAGTGCTTAACTACCAAAACTCAAAATCAGTTAAATGGGGATGAGTGGCCTCCTCTTGTCTGAAAAGTTTCTGTGCGGTTTTAAATAAGCTCAGTGTCAGTGTCAGGTGTCACAAAGTGCAGTCATATATTGCGGGATCCTGCAATATTTGTAAAGATTTTTAAATCTGTCACAAATCCACAATCTGTAGATGGTAAATCACAACCACATAAGTATTTGACTTAGGAAGTTAGAAATTCCAGGGTGGAAAAAACATCAGCACTGAGTACCTCATTCCACTGCCAGAATATCCTTGATCTTAACCATACTGAATATGCTTTAAAATCTTTAACGTGCACATTTTGTTTAGAAATATCTGAAGGATTATTTGACATGAACCAAACAAGGAAGTTTATTTTTTAAGGTGTACAAATGAAGTTGTATTCAGTAAAATAGACTTAATACAGTAGGCAAGTTCAAAATATACTTGGATTTTTTACTCCTTTCATGTTCTATATAAAATAAACAGTACACACTGTACAAGTACATTATGCAATTAACATACCACAGACTTTGGTTTTATGGAGAAAGAGTCAAATATGCATTGTAGTTGAATTTTAACATTTGCCTGCATGTCCTTTGCAAGTAAGACAAAGGAACAGAGCTTTATAACTTTTACTTCACATCACACAGCAGTGCAACCCCACGCAGGATCCAGTGTTCTGGGGGCTGGACTGTTCGGAGCTCCACAGCAGCAATGTAATTCAGGTCTGTCCTCACAGGCTTCTTATATATTGGACAAGTATACAAGCGGGGATCCTTTAAACCTAAAATCAAAACAATTTGCAAAAAATAAGATTACGGGTTCAATACCAATACCAGCTGCATTCAATACCAAGCTGACAGAGTCAGTCACGTATATGACAAACCACCTTTGGATCAGAGAAATAGTTTAGGAAATGTTAAAGTGTATTTTAAGTGGAACACCAAGCTGTCATAATATTAAACTACAAGTAAGGGTAGAAGATTGAGCTTCAATGCATCACATTTCAAATAGATAAGAACTATTTTTGCGTTAATGAGATAAACCTAAAGTTGTTAAAGGACTTTCTAGTACTCACCATTGTTTTCTGCATAGATCCTGATGACAGGCATCATCTCAAACAACGCTTTAGGTTTCGATTCAATGAGTTTGCAGTTCCTTCTGTCCCATCCTGCTCCCTCCAAATACAGTCCATACACATAGACACCTTCAGTGGGAGGCTGGGTGATGTCATCCTTCATCCATTTGGTCACCTCGTTGCACAGGACCATTCGATCAAGAGCCCAGCCCTTGTTTGCTCGGGTGATTTCCTTCAGAAATACAGGTCAAGGCTGTTAATTTTGGAAGACTTTTAAAAATAAAATTAAAGTACAGTAAAACCTTGATATTTGCAAATTCTGAATTCTTGATTTCACCTTTTCTCACTAAATATTCAAATGACCACTTTTTTCAGCATTCAGTTAATTTAGAGCTAATGAAAAAAGGCTTTTAATGTAACCAATAAAATGTAAGTTTAAAAAAGGGGTATTTGAACTGATGTTAAATGACCATTTTCTTTAAGGACAAAGCAATGTATTTTGCACCACCCTTAAGACTTACATTAACATCCCACCAAACATACCTGTCTCATTGCTGTTAAAAAGCCTTGAGGGTTAAAGAACCCTGTCATCCAGAAGCAGTTTGGTCGTCCCTCAAAAATCCAGGACTGGAACTGACGGTTTCTTTCCAACAGCTCTGTAAACCAGAATCCCAGAGTACTGGAAGCCCAAGATGCCTATAAGAAATAACATTTTTGACATACAGTACAAGTACTTACAGAATGTGCTATTCACCAATTTTTCTGTCATTTCCCACTGGACAAATGTCTTTTCTGTACTTTCTATAATCTCCATCATTTAAGATGAATAAAACTTCAACTTCAAAGCTTTTATTAATGAATATCAGCGTCCCATTTAGCAGGGGATGTCTGTATCAAAAGTGTTCCTCATTTACAGCATATTTATAACTGAAGAGAAGAATTCTAAAAACACTCAAGGTGAATAGTCAATGTTAAGCAGAGCACTACTGAGAGATGTGATAAGAATCCAGGGCTTAATGAAAATGTTAGCTGCAGGATAACAAAAAAATAATTTTGTTGAACCTATGAGTCAAAGACCAAATGAAACATGAACCAACGGCACATTAATAATAATTTGAGACATTTAGTTCAAAAAACAACTTTTTCAATGTGTGACAAATCTTCAGCTTAGTAAACTAACAAGTGCCATTAATTGAAATAGACATTCCAGTTGCATGTCAGACTCTAAACACAAAACAAGGCTCTGTATTCCCTCCATCCATTTTCTAATTTCTTCTTCCAATTCAGGGTCGCAGGTGAACTATCCTAGCAATGCGTGCAAGGAAGGGTACACCCTAGACAGGATACTAGTCCACTCACAACAGGCTAACAGAATGTTTTTGTACTGTGGGAGGAAACTGGAGCACCCAGAGGGAGCTCATAAAACGCGTGAAGAACAAAGGGGTCATAGAACGTCTGGCAAGCTTTGCTGCTTCATGCAGATCTACTGTACAGGAGCTACAGAACACTGTAATACACTAGCCATAATGGAAGAAACTTGTATATAAAAAAATCACACTTTATGGGGACTAAAGGTTGTTCTGTCCCGTTCGAGGATTAATCACCAACCTTTTTCCAGCGGGATGGGATTCTGGCATCATACATGCAGTCTAAGGCATCCCGAAGGTTCTCGCTCATGATGATGGTCCCGTCGATGGCAAGTTTAAGGTCCGTCAGAGTGTTTCGCACCAGGACGATAATCCTCTGCATTCTGTCAATCTCCTGCCGCAGGAAGATGTTCATCGGCTGCAAGGGGCCCATCTTCTGAAGCCTTTCCCTCACCTGACAGAGCGATAAGTATTAGTCATAAGTTTAGACAGTTCAAGTAGCTGCGTCAGCACATGTAGGCTGCAAAGGAACCAATAAAGGTTTATTCCATGCTGAAAGGAAAAGAGAAGAGACACAACGTTTTGGCTGTGAAGCCTTCTTTGACATCTGAAGAAGGCTCCATAGCCGAAAAGTTCTGTCTCTTTTTTTTCAGCATGGAAAAAACTTTTACCTATAACTTCAGACATATACACTATACTGCGGACCTTATTACTGTTATATTGCAATGCATTTCAGATGAGCTTCTTTAGAAATTATGAGAAATAAATGGTTCAACAGCTCATTTCATTCACAGATGTCTCCTAATTGGTTTTGAACCTAAAGGGCAAGATTTTAAGATATTCAATCAGAAGCCTATGGGCTGCAACTGTTTTGGTTGCTTTTGAGATGTTGAATTGCATCAAGAATACCTTGTGCTGTACAACTTTACTCACCTCAAATGGGACATAGTCTGGTGGCAGCTTCTCCAGCATGTCATCTGCCAGTCTTCCCACAATGGCTTCTCTGGTCTCCCCTCCCCCGCTGGAGCTGTCTTTGGGCTGGATGCTCAGGATGGTGTCTAACACATCTTTAGCCAGCTTGCTTTGATAGGTGATGTCAGCATTGGGGTGAAGTCCAAACACCTCAGGAGTGTCATAAACGGGTAACCCCTAAAATTGGGACATTACACAGTAATAACACAAAGATGTTACTGTGTTACTTCACTGCAATTCAGGTTAGCTTCCTACTTGTAGAGGAAGCAGAAGTGATCAACCCTTTGGGAGGAGGAGTTTTATTAAGCCATTAATTGGTCACTATAATTTAAGCTTCATATTTGTAATTAATTTTAAATTAAGCTTTGTAACAACTAAGTCAGCACTAAGGCTTGAATATATACAAAAGTCAAAGCAAAGTAATCAACAAATTATCAATAATATTTATATACACTAACTGGTATTCTAAATTTGAAAAGACTAGCCCTTGTGTTTTTTCAACCTAATAAGAGGAAATGAATGTTATAATGTTTTAAAATCTCTCACTAGCAACTGTTTTATTCTAGTTGCTAGTGAGAGATTTTATGCACGTATTTTTTAAATCAACTTAGCCAAACAATCATCAGAAACAAAAACATTAATATTGATGAATAACATACTTTCTTTTTTCATTAAGATACACAATTCCTTGCTTGTACAGTAGGTTTCTTATAGTAATTACACTTACTATAATTGTAGTTAGGCACAAATTCCTGTTGAAATTAGTACTTTTTGAGTTGTATTGCCTCATGCTAATAAAATATTATGAACATGTTATAAATAGCCAATAATCCTTACAGTTATAGATAGCCAAGGTAAAACCTAAAATTACTGACCTGAATATACTGAAGATACTGGTCCACATTTACACATTTGGGAATACTATAGCCTTTGTAGAAAAAGAAGTCTGCTCCAAACATGTTCTCACTGAACCAGACTTTGGCAAATGTGTTCAGTAGTCGCTTATCATAGTCATCAGTCACTCTGCCACCATACTGGATCTCTCCTATCATATAGCGCACTGTGTTCCAGGATACTCCCTGAAAAATACATTTATCTTCCCCTGTCAGCTTGCACGGAATATTTACAACACATCAGGAATTTATACAGTACATGATCTTCTGACCCACCCACCCAATGTGTCATTCACATTTTGACATGCTGCAACTCCTTCTGCGACATGAAGCAGACTCAGAAACAATTAGAGGCCCATTCCTGACTGAAGTCTGTGTAGGTGTGTGGTGTCCCTGTACCACTAATAGCTGTGGGAGCCATGGTGAACTAACCCCAATCCCTGCTCAGGCAGTACAAAGCCAGACACATGGTGTGGGGTTTGAAGAGCTCACCCTGCACTCAGAGCAAACATACCCTTCAGCTGTGCCACACAGAAGCCTGCATTACTCAAAAACCCTTTCATCCTTTATTACAATTTAAGAAGCTTTATAATTGAGAGAAGAAATTCTCAAATTGAAAGGTTAATTATTGATACTTTATGTAACATTATTCAGAACCTTACAAGTACTAAAACTAAGGTACAAGGGGCAAAGATTTTACAGAACTACTTTTTGAACTAAAGTTTTCCTTTTCATCCATGTATATAAAAGTAAATAATTATCTGCCCTAAAGAAATAGAATTAGAAATAATGTTCTCAAGGAACCATTAAGACACAATATAAACTACGTAGAGAAGACATTGAAGAACAACCTGAATTTAAACTACTGAGTTTTTACCCCTACCTTTTTTATGTCCATGTCATCTAAGTGGTTTTGGATAAATTGCACTGTTGCGTTAAAATCTGCCTGATTAAACTCATATGGGATGTTCCATCCCAGTGGTCCAAACTTGCGTCTCTCCTGTACAGTGGAATGTAGGAATGCCACAGCATAGAGCATAGGTTTCCACTGAGTCATGTTGCTGACATCCAAGAGGTCCTGGTTGATGCCTGAGAAAATGCAGCCAAAGACAGAAGTGTTTAATGTTCAGATATATTCTGAACTGAGCTGTCATGCTCAGTTGTTATACTTGGACAGTTGACAGCCTTTGCTTAGGATCGACACTGCAGTGCAATTATAACATGACACTTAGTAGTGTAACACAGGCATAACAGGCAGATTTATCTGTACAGTGCATTTAATCTTTAAAAAAAATCTTCTCTTTTTTACCACAGTTTTCAATTAAGTTCGTCACACTGCAGTTCTTGACCTCTCCAATATTTGCTGTCAAGCAAAACACTGCTTTTCACAACACAATTACAAAAAAAATTAAACCTAGGCCAAATGGATGATTGCCACAACTTATACTGATACTATTCAGTTTCACAGGTAGCTAGTGGGCATCAAGCATCACCAGAAAAGGCGATGCTAAACAATACTAAAAATAATAAAACTGTTATATACAAATGTCTTACTTAAGTCTTACTTATGCAAAACAGTTAGGATAACATTGAAATGTATCTTAAAGTAGTCATCTATATCATTCCTTTTTTTCCTTAATTGCCATATAAATGTCTTATATATAATGTCTTATATGCCATAAATGGTCCCAAACAAATAATGAAATACTGAAATATATATAATTATGAAATACTGAAACACCACATAAATGCAAAGTGGCTTAATGAGGTCTGAGTTGGGAGTTAATTTCATGTTGAAAAGTAGAAAGAGAAAACAACTTTTCAGCTGTGAGCCTTCATCAGATGTGAGCAGTTATACCAAGAGTCATCCTCACAGACGAAGAATGTTTAACAGCTGAAATAACACCTTTGTGATCCTTTGTGTTTTTAATGGCACTTTTTAAAAATAGTATTACATATCTTTCTGTGCCATTTCTCAAACTCAGAATTTGTAATACAGGTATATAGTTAAATATTTTATTTTTAGGCTTACCTCCGTATGTTCTCTTGAGGCCAGCCTTTAGTCCTTGAGGTGGCTCATTAGTGAACTTAATTGACATCTGTAGAAGAGTAATGGGGAACTGCTTATGGACTTCAGTGGTCATCCATAGACGAAAAGTCTCATGCATTGTCTCCGTTTCAGTGATCGTGTCCATCAGCTCATCCAAGAAATCAAGTCCCAGGTGACAATTCTGAAGAAGGGCCCAACCACCCTTTCCAGGAAAGCAATATCAGATAATTGTTGAGGATGGTGATAACAATAAGATGTCACTGTGAATTCAAGCTCTTTTAAGTTAGAAACAAATACGTAAGTGTTCTATAGCATAAATGGACACACTCACATTGGTCATGGTCTGCTGCAGCAGCTTTCGAGCATGGACTCCCTGTCCTTGACCCATGGACACATAGCGCGTTTCTATTTTCAGCCTCTTTCCCAGAGCAATGATGGAATCTGTGGGATCGGAACCCATTGACAAGAAGCAGATCAGAGGGATTCGAGGACCTGATTCCTCCCAGGTGTTTTCCAGGTCCAGAATAACTCCCTCAGCATACTTCTGTCCCATGGAGTCCATTATGTATTTGCGAGCCTGTTCAGTGGTAAAATAAACCATATGAAATAATCAAAACTGTACATTCAAAGCATAAAAATCATCTATCACAAGTATCAACAATGAAGATGGAGAAATGGTGATCAGGTAGCTATCTTGTTTTATGTAGGACTTTACTTTCACTTTCAGTCTTTTGATACAAAGGTTGTATTCTTGTTAAGAGTTAATTGTCCACAGTTTGCACAATGGTGCCGGTTTCAATTTGATTTGTACAGCTGTTTACAAGAACAAGATTTTGAAAGGCTTTTTGAACATGCAGGTCAGTTCAACATCTTGGTTGATGCAGATCCTCAATTTTTGCCACAAAATTAATGGCTTATCTGTACCAGCCTACCTGTCTAGTATGATGTTACTAGGCTGCCTGATCTCAGAGTATCAATGCTTTTAAAATTGGGAAGAAAAAAAAAACATACTGTCACTATAAGTTTCCATTACCTGGATGTCTAATAAGGTGTCAATGTCACACTGCAAGAAAATATTTCAACATCTTTGGAATTTCACAAATAGTGAAATGATAGTTCCAGTCTTAAAAACAGAACATGTTCAGTATGACAGCCATCTACAAAATTAGCCCAAACTTGATGATGTTTATTGTGAGAGCATTTTACTTAATAAAATTAATAGCAATTACAATGCTTAATACTGATCCTTTCTTTAATACCTGAGCGATGGTTCTGTCAGGACACCATGACCTTATCAAAAGAAGTCGCCTGAAGCAATCCAGAGCCTGGTCATAAGCATTGGGGATACTTTCCTCTTCAGGGGCCTCTTTATCAAACCAGTTTTTCCATTGCTTTTCATTTCTGCTAATCTACAGCAAGAAAAGAAACAGGGGTCAAGGAACAAATAACACCTTAACCTGATTTGTAGGAGCTCCATCCATTTTAATCTAAGGGATTTAACTCTGAGTTCTAGCCTTACTTGGCATCACATAGAGATGCTTCAATACCATTTTTACATAGTAAACGAAACATTACAGAAACAAATAGTTGTTTTTTTTCCCCACAGTTCCTTCGACTGCCCCAGCAGTGTTATTGACAGGGCCTTTGCCTGCGCCAAAAACACCAACTTGAGCAGGAACTCCTGCCGTAACAATCGCATTCCCTTGATGCTTCTCTACCACCCCAACACTATTAACGAAAACTTTTCCATCGTACAGGATGATCCCTCCATCATCTTTCCTGACCACCCCATCATCTCATATCGCCGATCACCTAATCTGCGTAACCTTCTTGTTCAGAGCTCCCTTGACCGCCCTCAACAATCATCCACACCAGGCACTTTCCCCTGCAACAGAGCTTGCAGCATCACCTGCAAGTACATATCTAACACCACACTTATTCAGGGCCCCTCAGGACAATTCCAGATCACTCGGATGACATCTTGCACCTCCAGCAACCTTATTTACTGTATCTCTTGCAGTAAATGCCCAGCCACCTATATTGGAGAAATAGGAAGGAGGCTCCGAGACCATGTTAGGGCTGTGAAGATTAAAGATTTCTCATTTCACCTCTGACGGCCATGATCACACTAATCTCGCCGTCTGTGTTCTCAAAGATGGTTTTCTTAAGTCATACATCAGAAAGACTACAGAAACTAAAATTATACTTCTCTCAACGACAGACTACTTTTCTTCTAAATTCTCTCTATTCATTGTAGGTTTAATTTCACACCACTCTTCACCTATCCTGACTTCACACCACCTGATTGGCCACTGTCTGTCCCCTGCTCCCATCTCTTGCTCCTCCTCTCTCCCAGCTTTTGTTCTCCTGCTATATTACCTTTGCTGTATGCCCTGTCTTTCTCACACCTGAAGAAGGCTCCACGGCTGAAACGTTGTGTTTTCTTTCTTCTCTTTTCAGCATGGAATAAACCTATTACTTGTTCCTTAATTAGGACTAGCCTATTAGAAATCTATATGAATCAAGTGACATGCTTGTTAACAATGGATGTTAAATAAGTGAAAACATAAAAGTAAATATTGGATTTAGTACTAGAAAGTTAAATGTTTCCATGCTGAAAAGAGAAGAAAGAAAACACATTTCGGCAGTGGTGCCTTCTTCAAGTTTATTGACCTTTCTCACAATCTTATGTCACAGGAAATAAAACAGATCATTGCAGATCATTGTTTTCATTGCTGGTCAATTTAATAAAAAACAAACAATTTCCATAATTTTCCAATCTGATTTATTTTATGTTTTTATTTATGATAACAACAAAGAAACAATTCACACTATATTTGCCCACTTAAATGAAAAAGGCCACTAGAGAAGGAGTTTCCAGTCCTGATCCTGGAGGAACATGTGCCTGCAAGGTGTTGTTACAAATTCATAGATACAAAAGTGACTCGGGACTATATTTTTATTCTGTTCCTACTGTATACTTGAACATTAAGCTGCTTTTCAGATTCTTGGCTACTTACTTGATCAAGAATATCAGAGAACTGCCAAAGCTTACTGAGCTCCACCAGATTCAGCCAGGTCATGTCCAGTATCCACTTGGCAGCCTTAGCAGGACAAGCTTTCAGATCTAAGGAAGCTCCACCTAATTAACAATATCAAAATTATGTCCAGAACATTATTGAGCAATTTCTTAACCAGCATATCATTGAGCCTAAGGGAATTGCACTTTTTCTGAACACATGATGAAGTCAAAGGAGCACAAAACAAAGACAAAGAAAATGTCCTAGTGCTAAACGAGGCCGAAGTGGTAAGAGTCACATGTTGTCATACAACATAATCATTGCAACTAATTGTATTGTAACTAACAATTTAGAGCATCTGATCAAACAAAGCTGTGGTTTAAAACTCATACACCTCTTTAAACAATGATAAAAAATGTAAATCCAAATAAGAACAATTAATATTCAGATTAACACAAGACGTCAACAAATAGATGTGAAAAAAGATTAATTCATTCTGTACAGTGAATTCATGCTAAGATTTTTTCATTTTAATTTAACAATTTTGTCTTTACATTAATGGTACTATATATAAAACCAAACTATCTGGTTGGTGTATGTTAAAATGCACCACCAACAAGGAATTATTTCCTACACCTTGTGCAGCACAAAAAAATATATTTTAGCTTCAAAGTATTAACTATGTAAAAAATAATGAGTTTAGCAGATATCCAATATTTCTAAATCATGTTTCCTAAATCTACCACGTATTTTACAAAGAAGCTGAAGCCTTTTGTTGACATATGAGGTACCAGGTGACAAAATTTATGTTAGTGCTCAGCTTCAAAAATGACTGTATGGGATTCTTACGAGTTCAATGTGCATAGTGACATATTTCAAACCTGAACTTAGTGTGACCCATCATCTGTTCATTTATAAAGGATAGACTAATTCCAAAACAGATATAATGGCACAGACTTAAAAAGCCTACTTATTGCATCCCATAATATATTTTAAATAATGCAGATCTACATAATAGCACACAAGAGTGACAGGCTGTGTTCTGCTGACCTTTGATAAGGGTGAGGAACTCTTCATGTTTCACTCTGTTGCTTTGCATATCAATCTTCAGAGTCAACAACAGAGTAAAAAGAAATTTGTGCTCTTCATATAGGCCCCGTGCCGCATAGTTGTGTACTTCGAAGGTCATATATTCAATAATGTTAGCTATCCTCTTGCTGGTTATTGGGCTTTTGGATGATCTATTAAAAAAAACACAACAATGTACTCTGTCACTACATCAAGAATAATACTGTATTTCACAGTTGTTTCATACTGAAAACTACCAGTTAAGCTGGAACAGTGTTCATAAACAACTAGACCCAAATAAAATTAATTCATGTTTGCAAACTTTACACTAAAAAACAGATGTCAGGTTTTGTGATTTTATTTTTAAAAAGTGCAAACTTCAACCCTAATTAGGTGATGCTTATACTGTTAGCTAGTATCTTCATATACCTGTAAAACAAAAACCATTCCTCTTATGCATTGGTAAGAAACAGGATTTTGTTTAGACAGCACAAAAATGCACTGTTTGACCTGAAAATGAATTCAATGAAAACACCTAATCACATGTGTTCGACCAATATCGCCACATATCTAGACTTGTATAAGACTAAATAATAATATTACAAAGAAATATAGCCACATTATCACACTAAATGATCCAGTGTTGTGAAATTCCACAAAAACTGAGCTTCTTTCCTCTATTAGAATTTGAGAAAATTCTAAAAGGCTATCCAAATACCTGGCAAGAGATAAGTCAAAAAGCCCCAGGAACTGGCGCAGGGACGTTTGGTACATCACATTGACCATGCTCATCTCTGTGATCAGGAAATACAAGATGCTGCCCCTGGTGGCAACTGTGTAACATGAAAATAATTAATTTCTGACATACATTTACACAATGTAACTCAATAATATGTTTTTCCAAGTAATGCTTTTTTTTCCAACAAACATTTTCATACACTTCTCTTTTCACACAAAAGTGCAATATGCCCATTCCTCAGGTCTTGTATGGGCTCTGTTCTGCAAGACTTTGCATATGGGTTTGCTGTCCTTTTAGTGGTTAACAGGTGTGTGATAATCACTGAAGGTGGGTGAGAGCATGAAAGAGAAGGCAGCAGCAGCTTGGAGTCCATGAGGTAGAGAGAAAATAGAAAAACTTCCCCAATTTAAAACCCTCTAATTAGAATAAACATCAAATATAGCACACACTTAAAATATACATGTTAATGACATTTAACAAATATATAAATACTGAACTTTCATTACCCTGTACTGTACTCTGCTCGTCTCAAGTCACATCCTACATTAGGTTGCATTGTGTGTTACTCACAATTGCCAATGAAAAAGCAAGACACTGAGTGTAAAATGCAGTGCTGGTAGAGGCTGGTGGAGACCACGTTACATTTACTTTACAAACACACACACACCAAACAGTCCTTAACACAAATTTATACAACTCGAGTTATGCATAACCCTGGAGAGGGTGTAATCGTGAAGAATGAAATTAATGTTTTTTTAACATCTCAAGCAATTTTGAACTTGAAGTACCTGCATTTTTAAAAAGATTGCCATTGACGTGGCTGCACTAGAAGTATCTATTCTAATATCACAAAGAAAGTTAGTGGGCAGTAAGGGCAAGTTCAATTTGGAACAAAGATACCCAGCATAAGCCTTTAGATGAACATACTCAAAACCAATTCAGTGTCTATGCAGCCAAACTGAACCCATTTTCCTTTACCTGGTCTATACTCCTCGCGAGCTGCATTGATTTGGATCTCTGTCTCGGCTGCAGTCTGCAGTTTCTGTGTAACCTCCTCCGCCGTCCTCTTCGTGTTGCTCAGAACAATGATGAGACTCTCGTCATCCACCAGAGACCCCTGGGTGCTGGTGAGACGGAAGAGGAGGTTGTCCTCCAGCTCCTTCATTTTGCGCTTGTTTGAAGTCACATCCTCCATTAGGTCTGTTCTTTCTTTCTCCAATTCCTGTTCATATGTAGTTATACATCATATTTATGCACATATTTCTTAATTTCCTTAATGTATGCCCACTCTTCATAAAATTTAATGAATCCTCAGATTACTAAGATTAACTGATGTAATGTTGTTGTTTTTTATTGTCATCCATAACTTCCAACAGTCATCTGTAAAACCTTTAACTTTCTTCAAAAACAACATCCTGAACTCTGTTTTCTTCATTTTAAATGCATTACATTGTTTAAAACATTTATCATTTTATGGTTCTCTATTTGAAGTTATAAACAATACCTCACTTTGAAAATGCAGCAAATAAAATTAAACTTTGAATAAGACTGAAATTATTTATAGCATATGCAAAAATGATCATAGGGAATCAAAAGTGTTGCTGTAACCAAAGTCCATCTTAAAATTAGGGAGGAAAAATAGAAAAAGCTTTATGACTCATCAAGACTTATTCATTGAAATTAAGGCCAACATCTTTTTTAGTAAGGCTTTCTGTAATTTTTTTGTAATGTATTTAATAAGACAGAACCCAATGATGGTATATATCTTTCATTGGGAAGAAGTGTGACTAATAGACATCTAAAATACTAAGGGGAATGAATAAGCTTCAATAATAAGTCTATTATTTATATTCACTGACTAATATATTCTAACAAATATCCTCACAAAACGCTCCATAACCAAGGTACAAATATAATTGCACGCCTTTCTTCCATTTCATACCTTCAACAGTGCAATTTAAGTGCACTGAGACATCTTCTGTCTCAGTGTTCATTTTCTCTAGACACTCTCTTTAGTATCCAGTCTATGTTGGGATCTTTTGATAGCCTCCTACCTGTTTTTCAGTAAGAATGACTCTGCCAAGAAGCTGATCCTCCAGTCCTTTCATGGTGACAGTAAAGTCAATGATGGATGTGCGGGCGCTGATCTCGGGGGTGTACGCCGGGTTGGGTAACTTAGTTGTGACATAAAGTCGAAAACCACTCATCACATCCACTTCCTTATCCCCTACTTTTACCTGATGCCAGATAGGGACGAGAATGTTATCAAATAAGGTTCAATCTAGTTAAATTTAAAGATGTTGTGTATTTTTTTCTATAGAAAACCAGGTGTTTCTGGTAATGAAAAAAGTGTATTAGAAAGCTGTTGCTCACATGCTAATGTAGGCTTAACATAAAAAAAAACATTTGTAATCATAAGAAAATCATTTTTATTCAGCTAAGCAATCTTTTTACCTTTGAATAAAATTCAGTTGGAACTACTTGGCATAATTGCTATAATGTTCACAAAGTACCAAATATAACATTGTTCAGAACAAAAAATGCCTAACTGCAGGAAGCAAATGATTTCATTCAATTAATGATGACTTTAAACTCAATCTTTACACAGAACCGCTGAGACAAGCAAGCTAAGGTATAATTTTGCCATCCAAGAATATCAGAGCCTATAAAAAGACAGGTGTTCTGCTGAAACTGAAAGTAACATTTTTTCCATATAAATCAAGGGTGCACAGCTTCTCTTCAGGAGGGGCCATACCATCTTCAGGGTTTTATTCTACTGGGACCTAACTACTTAAGTCACCTAATAACTGGCTTAACCTGACCAATTTCAAGTTCTTTGGATCCTGGTGTATGGACAGACTTGCAAACCTAATGGTACTGTACTGTATGTAACCCTTCAGACTGAACTTGTGCATCACTGAGAGGAAGCTCATTGGACAAATCCATGAATATATCTTACTTTATATACATGTAGTCATGGACTCAAATGTTATACGACAGCAAAACCCTCCATTGTCAGGGTACCTTGTATGTCGATCCTGTTTTGATGAAATTTTTTTCCAGGACGTTGTCCAGGGCGGGGTCCAGCTCCTCTCCCACATCCTCAATGAGCATCGGTCTGCCGAGGGACAAGCTGTCCTCCAGGTGATTCCTGAAGTACTTATGGTTGAGGGAAGTTATCTACGATGAAAAAAAGAGTAACTTATAACTGACATTCATTACTTACAGAACACAATTTGTTTTTTCTTCATTTGGTCCTATTATGTAACAGCATGGGAAACTGTAATGAATTTGAAAGCAAATAAGTCAGAAGTTGACATGTTATCATTTCACAAAAATGATGTAGTAAACATTTGCTAACTAATAGTTACTTATCATCTAGGCAGTTTTCGTACATCTGTACATCCAATTTCGAATCATTCAAATTACGCTATTAGAACTGGCTTTACAGAATATTTCTCATGTAAGCTATGCAGTTACCTGCAGTTCATTCTTGGCTTCCTTATTTTTGATCCATATTTTGCCTTGTGTTTGTGGGTCAATTAACAAAGGAAAACGTGCAGCCTTAGTGACAATAATTCCATTCTGTATGGACAGATCATCATTAGGCAGCCCTTGCAAGTTCCATTCACTGACAGTCGGTGCATCGATCAACATCTCAGTGAGGTTAAGGTTGTTTCCAAAAGGGATTCGACGCGTCTTCATTTCTTTCTGCCAGTCGGTTAAAAGCAAGTTACGGAATTCTTGATTGAAAGGACCCGAGTATGACAGGAAAGCAGTAGCCAACAATACATCGCCTGTTAAAGAAAAACCAATAAATAAATTGAAGGCAATGTGAAGAAAGGTAAATAATAACATAAATCAAAGATATAAAAGCTTAATATATTGTGAGTGCATCACATTTAATAGATTTTATAAATACAAACTTTATTTACAACAATTAGTTTGCCCAAGTAGTTTGAATAGGTAGACCACTGTAACGCATTTTCTTGCTTCATTGTAAACCCACCACCTGTCCATAGTAGTTCCAAGAATCAGCTGAAAAGTGGTTGGCTCTTGTGGTCCCGACCGATCTGTGCTCGCACACCAGAGGTAAACTTGCAGTTTTACTTACCAACCAGCCGCTTGGTCTGCGCAGCAAACTCTTTGCTCTGCTCTGTCCACCTGGCTTTTTCTCCTGCAAGGCCACTGATTAAACTTGAAGCTGTTTGCATTTTGTGCCTGCAGCGGTCTGCATCCTCTAGTAGGGTCTAGGCAACACCAGGAACAGAACAATTACAACCTGCAGCTGCCTGCACCAATATTCAGAATTTCAATCACACATTATAATACGGTCTACAAAGTCTACAAAGTTTTTGACAAACCTGCTAAAGTTTTTCACATGGAGATGAGGACCTCTTCTAAAAATAAGAGCCAGTCTCATTTTTTCAGATTGCTAAATCCAAAAAGCATTCAGCAAAGCTGACTATGGCTCTATCTGACTGCACTGCATGCTCCGTGAGGGATTCTTGTGAGTTGAACCATGGACACCCTGACTGACACTTCCCTTAACCACATAGTTCAACTGGAATTCAGCACATTGTTTTCAATCCAGCTTTTGAAACAGGAGCAAATGTGGTATGTGCAATTACCACTAAAAGATGACCACATTTTTAAAATCGATTGACAATATTCATTCCGTAACTGACACAGCTTCTAACTCAGCAATGACAAACATCTCCCTTGCTTTCAAACACCTGCTTCCATTACTTATTCAAGTGATATAAAAATAACAAATAATAAATTAACAACTAGCAGGCCTAATTACTATAAAAGCTTGTATTATAGGATTACTTTTTAATTGAAAAGATGAACATGTAACTATTTGAAAATGTTACTATTTAAAAATGTTTTGGATACATCTGACAAAATATCATTAACATAAAATCCAGGACTCTCCATGTATTCAATGGAAAATTAGTTTTTGCTTTCTTTCTTGTATTGTTCTTGTATTGGGTTGTATTGTTTTTGGTTTTCACCCACGGAAATCCATCTTGCTAAAGTACTGTAGCACTGCACTGTTCGTTAAAGAGTTACTCTATCATCTTCTCCAAATATTGTGACAAACTGCCTCATCAATGTTTTAACACTTTGAAGAAATGCTGGTGTCCACACCTGTGGATGGCCGCAGTAAGTGCTATTCTCGCTTTGTTAATAACGGCTTTTCAGTAAACCAAGTCATTCTGTTTTTCCTCCCTTGTTTAGTGAAAGACATTGTACTCTTTATTTCAAGCAATTTCATTCCTTTGATGAATTACAGATTTCCAATTTATTTTTCACTACATGATGATTATGTTTGTATTTTTCTACAATAATCAAGTAATAGATTTAAATTTTGGTAACTGTCCATAACTGGTAATGAAGAAGTTTCATATGAAATGTTAATTTGCCACATAATTTTGAGAAAGAAAGTAGTTTTTGTATGTGATAGTGTTATGTAAAGCTAAACCGTCAATGAAAGAAAATTACTTTAAAAAGATTTTGAACAAGTAGAAATTACAGAAATCGCTTTTGGTTGTAGTTTTTTCCACAGTTTAACTGTCCACATTCTATGGAATACAAATATAATATAGTCCTGATTATTTAACTGAATAGATGTACAGTATGTATACATGTATGTACAGTAGTTACTCATTTTTAAAAACTGAGAAATAGCAAGGAGCTCCTTACAAACTAAAAATAAAAGGATTCATGGACATTAATGTTGCGATTTACTCTTCAAACGATTGCAGTAAATAAAAGGGAGCATTTATCTTAAAGTAAAAAAACAAGGTTATCCATTTTCAATGTTAGTTTTTCTGCCTGTATACGTCTACATATATATATATACAGTAAGAGCAAAATATTTAAGCCACAACAATTACCTGGAACCCTTGCAAGAAACTAATACATATTAATAATTCCTCTGGCAAGACCTATGTTAGAACAATTTAATTTTAATTGTCTGAATTTATAATTAAAGTTCTAATTATACAGTAGTTTACTTGACATAATTTGGAACATTGGTTGCACTTTTATGAAGAGTTCCCATTAGTTTTGCACTAAATTAAATTTGGAAAAATAAGAACAAGTCGTCCAGCCTTTCATTAAATGTACTCACTCTGCATTATTTTCTGCACTTTTTTAGATTTTCATATGTTTTAATCATCTCAGGACAATAACTCAGAACAATTACTATAAAATATATTAAAAGGTATACTAGTAAATAAAATGCAATGTACAAAAAAGTAATTTCTCTATATAAATATATGAAATACCTCTGGATAACAAAGGAACTGTTTAAGAAAACAAAGATGCTATTAGTAACTAATTGTATACTGTTTGCTTGTATGCATCCAAATGTATTTTAAAATTTTATTTTATTTTTGCAAATTGTTTTTTGAAATTTGAAATTGTATAATAGCACTTATCTGCAATGCATTTTTCCAGCTTCTTCATGTCACCTTGAATGAGGGCACTTTGCTAACCAAACAATAATGTACCTACTCTACTCATACTCTAGAGTCTCAATGTGTACTTGAATTGCATGTCATAATTTACCTGTTTCTCCATCATTGCTTGCTCATACTCAGCTTGCACAACATCTAGCTCGGCCTGCTTGGCATCCAGCTCTGCTTGTGCATTCTGCAGATCAGCATTGGCTATAGCAAGGCGATTTTCCTGAACTGCCAAATTTGCCTAAGAGAAATTCAATAGGAATTATTAGAAGTTTCATATGTAGTGGGAGTTCATTTTCAGCAAGAAAAATTAATTATCTGTTGAGACAAATGACAGATTGTAAACAGTCATGTCCCCTACATTACTTGGTAGTAGCATTTCAGCCTGTCGAATTTAACACGCATACAGTACAGCTCTTATTCTAGGGGCTCACTATATTATATATATATTGCATCATACAGCTGATCAAGGGATGTGCATATAACCACAGGAAGAATGGATCACCAATACAGCTTTGTACAGTTCTAACTTGATTCCACTTGTTTTTCAGCAACAACATTCATTGAAATTAAAGTAGTAAAATTAACTTTATTCTGAAAGAAAGAAGGAACAAGCAGGAGATAACAGAAAGAAGGACATTTTATAAGGACACTAAAACATTGATTATATGAAGTAATTTCCAGCTTTAAAGTTAATTTACTTTAAAATAATCACAATAAATTGAAATAGCTTTGATTGTCTGGAGACATGATGACATTCCATGGTTACACATGGGACAGAGCTGTAAAGAGTTGTAGGAATACTCCTACATTCCTTTATTTCAACCCCACATGTCCACATGAATTACAAAATGTACTGTAAAATGTATCCGTACCTTCAAAGGAAGCACCTCCTTGTTAATGGAGAAGAAAGCAGCCATAGCTTCAGTCCAGGAGCACAGGCCAGCCACATTCCCACAGACTCTCTTGGCTGTTTCAATGTTATAGTCTGCCAGATCAAAGTAAGGATGGAGTAACTCCACCACCTCTTCATTAATCGTGTCTTTGGGGAATGTCTAGAAACAATTTTCACACACAACAAATATTGTAAATTGAAATTCATTACCAGTGTTATTAAGTGAAATGTTTGAAAACACTGGCATCAGTCTTATTTAGACCACAGAACAACATCTCTATGTAAATAGCGTTGGGTTAAATCTCTGTATTTGGATAAGAATGATAAAAACCTAAAGTTGCTGTTCACTTAAGATCTTAATACACCATGGATATCAGTAGTATCAATTCCTTAACTTACACCTGCTGTGGTTTAAGTGCATGTCAGAGCATAAGTGAGAGAAGACACTCTACTGATGTCTTTTAGGAAAGATGTTCTTCAGTGTGTCTCTTAGGACTGGTATACAGTATTCACATTTCTTAAACAACACAATCCAGAACACATTTTGTAGCCACACAGAATACATAAAAACATATCTGGAAAACAACATTTAAGTGCTTACATTGAAGAAGTCCATTGAAGTGAAATTTGAAGCTTCAGATAGATTGCAAGGTTTCTATTCTTCCTAAAATGACCCTTATTGTAGCGACCCTTATTAAGCCCTCAGGTTCTTCGTGCAGTCTGTGTGATTTTAGATACCAGACTCCCATACCTGTAGACTTCCAAGGAAGTTTCCTGCTGTCATGAGCTTGAGTGACTCCTGCCAGGACGGAATAATGCAGTTCTTCTCAGGATCGATCTTCACAGTGTTAACCCTCCTTTGGAAGAGCAGCAGCACACAGTCCATGATGCGCATGATCAGGTGTGGGGGCCTTCCCAGTGTGCGTACTGTCGCAATGTCAGATGGCTTGATGGTCTAAAGTAAATAAATATGTTTATATTTTTAAAAAATCAATCTAAACGCAAAGTTCAATTTGAAAATGTCATGATTGCAAGCTCAAACTGCAACAAAAAGGTAAAACTGGAAGTTGGGGGGGGGGGGGTGATACTTTTGAAAGACGGTGTATATACCCTCACAAGTCATAATAACTTCTGTGAATGGGATCACCCTGACTGGAAATACACACTTCCAGATGCTTGCTAAGAAACCACGCTTATGCCCACCAGCAGAGCAGCCTCCGCCTCCTGCAGGGCTGGCTTGGCAGCTTCTAGTTTCTCTTCGGCTATGGCCTTGTCAGCGAAGATACTATCCACAATGGCCTGAGCCTTGTCTTTCACCTTCTGCACTTCCACCTTCACTTTCTCAGCTGCCTGAGCCTTCACTGTAACTTCTTTTAACACCTGAAGGAAAAAAAGGCAAAGCAAATTGATTTCATATAAGAAAACTAATCAAAGAATGTTTACTAATGTTCTATAGTTCAGATGGTTTCAAATGTTTTTGCCTTAAAGGGAGTGAAGGAACATGTACAGCAGCATGGAGAACTACAGTCTATTTAATTAAAGCATCTCTAGCTTGACCTTTCTAACTTATTAAGCTAATAAATGTTTTGTGACCTGTTATAACCCACATACATTTATAAAATTGTTTGCAAGTTAATTGGGACCCAAAACATACAGTTATTAAAACCATACAGTACCAGTAACTGGAAACCGTGAGACCAATATATTTTGTTGTAGTATATCATCAGAACACTTTTTTGAATGATAAAGTTAGATTTTAATGAAAGATACAGTATATGTTTATTATTTTTTTAAGTATTTTTGATTTAATCATTTGTTTAATAGCCCAAGGCAAAGTGAAGAGGGCTAGCACAAGCTAGCCCAGCAGCTAAGAGACACAGAGATTAGGGTGTCTTGAGAACTGCTGTCCAAGTCCTAGAATTTGTGACCAAAAGAGAGATAAAGGAGAGGGGGTGTTTAGGGCACTGTGAGGAGCTCATGAGCATAAAAGAAAACTGAGAAGCATGTCCTCGCATCACTACCCCTGTCTAAAGTAGAACCTATAATAGATATTGGCCCAAGCCTACAAAACACTCAGATTTTTGGTTAAGACCTTATTTTGTAGGCTTTTGTTATACAGTATGTACGCTAGTAAACATAAGCCTGCCAGTCGAAACTAGAAAAATATAGAAAACGTTAACTAGAACTTGGCATTTTGGGGGGATTTGGTTTGTCTTATTTATATTTTTTAGTTTAACTAAGTATCTGTTTCCAGAATCATAAATGCAGTAGGACTGAATGGATCACCTTTGCGTAAAAAAAAAGGTAACCCACAAATACTGTACAAACCATGTCTGCCTTCTCATTGGCAACTTGTAGTTCCTTTTCCTTCACCTCCAGCTCCTTACTGAGGGCAGCCACAGACTCAGAGGCCTCTTTCAGCTTCTGCAGGCCTGTGTTCATTCTGTCAGGAGAGCAAAACGTGATTTTATAATTCTACACTGAAAAAACATTGATGCTGGAGACTGAGTATGTGGTTAGTGAAATAAAGGATATCATTTTATATTTTTTATCCAAATTTGTCAACCCCTGTGTGAAAATCTGATGTGACGTGTATTGACATACGCTGTTGTGTACCACTTAGGACGTGCTGTATATATTGTGTAAATCAATCAAGAAACTCTCATTCGGTCACTCCAGGACCTTGTTAAGCTGCAAGTAAGGACAAGTAAAATAACACTAAAATTTTGAAAACAGGACATATGAGTAAGAAATGTATTTTCGCTGAGGCACATATCCTACCTGTTGGCTAAGGTCTGCACTTCTGAGTGTTTCTCTTTGTATATGGTTTTGTAGCCCTGGATGAATGACAGGTAGGACTTCGGAGTGACGTGGGTGGAGCGTCGGTATCTCTGGAAATACTCCACACATTTCTCGGCCACACCATCCTGGAAGGAGCCCATGCACTGAACCACTTCTCCCTTCACCTGGGCAGTGCAATCGATGTCATAGGTAGACAGAAAGTGCTCTGACACTGTGCGAGATCAAAAATAAATGCAAATTAGTTTCTTCAGGTTGCTATTAAATTTAAACACTGCTACATTGTTGTACTTTCATTTTTGTGAAATTATTTCTTGCTGTTATATTCCTTTGGTCCTTATGCATGTATGGTCTTCACACAAGATGTGAACCCAGTTGTCTGGTTTCTTGGACCAGTAGCTTTTTGCAGCTTGTACTCACCTTTATGTTTTTTTCTTATATCAGTCATCCACTGCTTATAAACCTCTGGGGCTATTAGAATTGACACATAAGGTTGCATCGACACCTGGCATCACTCACAACAGCCCTCTTTTCCATAGCGCAACACGCTCCTACTATCTGCCAGTGCACAGCAGTCATGGGAAAAAACACTTGCTAGACGATTTCCATTACTTTGAACAGGATGGTTACATCGATATGCTGTTACAGAACATTCTTGAATAATTTGGCAGGGGAGTGTATAATTTGCATTCGATTTGCAAAGTATGTTTATTCATTGTGTATTGTCTGGTTTACATCAATTAAGGTTAATATCTTACTGTAAGTAAAATAAATTTATTTAAAAAACAAGATATGAATTTACATATTACAAAAAATTATAATTCTGCAGCATACATAATGCCTAAACAGAACAGCTTTTAGTTGCATTAATCTGTCTTAGATAACTAGTAAGCGCTGATACTTTAGCCATCAGTATTGAATGAGAAACAGGATGTGAACAGGTAACCCACCTGCAATCAAAGCATCTTTAGGCCACCGACTAAACCAATCCATGGTACAGCCTGAAATGAGTGCAGGGAATTTTAAAGCCCGATTCCGGAACTTCTCTCCTACAGGTGAAAAGCACAGAACCACATGAAGGTTCTGACGGACCCGGCTCATAAAGTACTCATATAGATTCTCGTTGCTTGGAGGTCGTCTTGGAAATTCCTTTTTCATGATAGGTATGAGGTCTCCAGTGATCTCATCAATTTCATCGCGTGCAAACAGGTTAGATACCTAGAAGAAAACAAGATTTACTCCTTCAAATAAATATATACTAAGCTTCAAAAGAAGCTTATACACTAATAATGAAATACACTTTGGTGTTGAAGGAGCAGTCACATTGTATTGAGCAAATATGACATACAGAAGGTAAATTCATTATGATTTATTAATATTTGTCTTCAACCTGATATTTACTGTGAAAAGCACAGCCTGGTATTGTTTGTTATGCAGATGTACATATGCTGGAAGCTATATAACTGCAAAACATCTGTGGCCTCTACATCAGCCCACAGATGCTGTGCTGTTGGATTATTCCAATATCTCTTAAGCAGCCTGGACAAGCTGTGCCAAACTTGGCACCAGTACTGGGAAGTGAACCTGGAATAACTTAGGCAAAACTGTTGCTCTCTTGACACAAAACAATCTCCAAAATAATGATATAAGCTATCATATTCCAAAACAAATAAAAACTACTTTTATTCTGTCAATACACGGCATATACAGGGTTAAATGTAGCTCTCTACAGGTGACAAAGATTATTCATCTAATAAACATGAATTAATAAGGAAAATAACTTCATCTGCACATTTTTTATTTCACTTATATTTGACAAATCAGCCTTCAGAACGTGTCTGAGCACATCCTTGCACAACTAATCAATGAATTATAATCCATGGATGATTAATTTCAGTATTGGGAAAAGGGCTGGTTTTTAAACAGAATGAGAGATGCATGCCAATTAATGTACAAGTTCTCATGTGTGTTATTCACTGTACTATAGAATAAAGGCTCTTTCAAGTCAGTGAGTACAATTAAACATGTTTTACAGTCAGTGAGAGAATCTCAACCAAGTTAAAGAAGGCTGGCAGGATGTCCTTAGAAATGACCATAGGAAATGCATGTCTCCTGTGATGACATACAAACCACAAACCTATACAATACAAAATATAAAAACATAAACCTAAAAAATACAGCCTCTGAGAGACTGATGGATACTGCTGACTCTCAGGGACTATTCCTAATCGTCAATCCAGTAAACTGCTGGGGTCCAGAGCAGAACCAAAGCCCATTAATGTCAGAGTCCCTCTGGGCTCCATTAAGAATTATGTGCACCTCCACCACTTCTCTTCATTCAGTCTAACAAACAAACCTGATGACACAGTAGGTTTCAGTGTGAAAAATGTGCAGTCGCTCCTGGTGTCAGATACTGACTTTCAATTTATGAGTGCATTTTTTATATAAACCATCTGTTTCTTAAATGCAACAAATTACTTTTACACAGGTGTTATCATTTTTTTAGTCCCAGTATAATAATTTAAAATATCTCACACTCATTTTTAGTATTTAATTAAATCACTTTGCTACAAAAGGCCAATATATTGGAACAAATCACGAAACTATATCCTACATCTTTCTTTTATTTAATGAAGCACACATGGCGTTTCCTCAGTCTCAAGGAACTCTCAAAAGAAACAACCCTACAAATAATTTTGAAAACGGACAATCATGGAACATGATCTATAATAGTCAAAATGTTGTAGCTTTCTTTGCATTATACATAGTGCACCATGTTTTCAGTATAAAATCTTAATTTTACTTACGTATACTTTCCCTTAAAATTCAATTAACACTTATTGCATCTCCATGACACCAATATGCAACAACACACATTCTTTGCACTGTAAGTCTAGGACATTTTTCACTGTTATTAATTATAAGTTTTGATAACAGCATATTACATCTCTGTTTTGTTGAATACTACAGAATGTTACTATTTACTAACTGGTGGTAAAAATATGCAATCTTTTCCCTGGCCATTGACACTGTCCGTTGCTTCAGTGCAGTATCTAAATAACCTGGGCATCTAAATAAACTAGAGTGTGTCCATGCAAGCAGCTGGCAGAATATCATTAGCAGTTATAAAGGGCTGACTCTTCATGCTACAGGACACCTGCATGTAAGTTACGTCAGAGGGACAAATACCAAAAGACAATCTATTTCCATTACAATGCACTTCTGATCAGCTATCTTCATAAACCATAAATGTTCTACTTGATTGCTCATCACAGTCTCTAGAACACTACTGTTAATGCTTTTAACTGTTTAGTCACTGAGCTTGATGTAGGCTTTATAGTGCTATCCTACTGAAAAAAAACTGTTAAAGGCCAAGTCTGAGCTTCTTGACAAAGAAATTCAGTTTATTTCCAATAACCTGATGACTTTCTGTCAGTCATTCCGTTCAGACTAGGGTAGCAGGACCAGAGAAAGCAGAGCAACCCTGAAGTAGACTAATTTCTGTTATTCATAGGAGGGATGAACTGTGAGTTTGAGAGAGTGAGGACCTCAGTTTTACATCCCATCAAAAAGAAGGCACTCTTTTTACAGTAGTGTCCCCGTCACTATACTGGGGCATTAGGACCCACACAGACCACAGGGTGAGTGCCTACTGGTCCCATTAACACCTCTTCCAGCAGCAACCTCAGTTTTTCCCAGGAGGTCTCCCATCCAGGTACTGACCAGGCTGCCAGCTGTGAGTTGCAGGGTAATATAGCTGCTGGCTTCATTACAAAACTAATGATGTAAATAATGGGTGCAATCCCGCCATGTGTCCTGTTCTCACAGGATAAACTCCAGGATGCCACAATCCTTATATGGAAAGTTTTCAGGTGATGAATAGATGGATGGTTACGTATTAGAAATGGACAAATGTCACAACAAGCGCTTACAAAAAATTCTTCCTTTGCTTTGTTAGATATGTAAAAAACAACTTTACACCCGAAGAACGCTTCACAACTGAAACGTTATGTTTCCTTTCTTCTCTTTTCAGCATGGAATGAACTTATTACTTCTTCCTATGTAAAAAAAAAGTCTGTATGACAAGAACTGCTGACCTCTCCTGATGATAAAACATTATTCATGTACTCCAGGAAGGACTCATCCTTGATCTCGTTGTCAGTGAAGATGAAGCTGATGCCTTTGCCTTGTTGACCTGCTGTCCTATATAACACTTTCAAGTCCTCCATCAGGTTGGAGGTGTTATAAGATCTGGGAATAGAAATTGCACAGAGAGCCAAAGTGCATTACAAACTTGATAAAAGTTTTAAGTTATATGATTTGGAGAGAGTTCATTTTATAGAGTAAATGAACTGCAGACTTCTTATCTCATGGGAAAGCTAAAGCAAAACAGTGTGCCTATTCACATTACAAAAAAAATGCAGGCTACAAAATCCGAGAGATTAAATACGAGTTTCTTCCTCAAAGTATTTTTAACATTACTATACATAATGAAACCATTGAAATACAGTGGTAACTAACATTAGTTATATGCATTTAACATACCTAAGTAGAGCCTATTGTATATGTCAAATGTTAACCTATCTCTAACAAGGGGAAATGTGAAAATAGTCTTTGCATCTATCAGCTGTAAAAGAGGAATTGAGAAAACAAGTGATTTTCAGTGTTATCATAGCCTACAGTTTATTACAAATAAGCACAGCTGAGGTATTGTGTATAACAGATGGCAATGCATCTTCTTTCTGATTTTAGTAAATAGATATGACAGCTCCCAATTAAATATTAAAACACCCAAGACATCCTGCATAACCCATTGCTAGCTTAAAGAGACATTTCCATCATACATACTTTTATTCAAAACACTTGAACTAAAAATAGTTTTTTTTTTATTTCTGCATACAGTGAGTCCATCTATGAATCTACTTTCACAGCTAAATGCATCCACAATCTTAAACAAAGATACCATCTACTGGAATAATACAAAACTGCATTATTGCTGGTATTACAGTAAATCATAATCTAAACAAAAACAATATTGATAACTGCATATTTGTCACTTGGCCTCGTAAATGAAGACATCTTGTAGACGGAGCATAATTTAGCTCCTACTCCGAAAGTAATGCAGAAAACAAGTATAACAAATAATTTAATTACCAAAACACAGTAATATAATAAAATTCAGTATAAACATTCTGGTAATGATGCATAAACAAACTTTTCCCAGAACAGTTTAAAATTATTTATTTTTTATTCCCCATGTTTTAAATTCAGTGTGCAATGTTTATTAATTAATTGACACATTTACCCAAACAAACGGTCATGCCCATCAGCTGTGCAATAGGTCCTGGAATTAAATTAAAACTTCTATCCATCTGCTGTCGCAAACTACAAACCCAATATTCAATGGCAGGTTTCCACAGGGTAGAAGCAAAAAGCCTATGGCAAACAAAATGCAGTCACCAAATAATGGGCTTGTGACTTGCATTTGGCTTTTATTTATTTTAATATTAGAAGGAATTTATTCTCTCGATCAAAAACAACTACTTAAAGAGGCCCACATTGTTAAATCAACATTATATTTTTGCTCGTAATAATCAACTTAGAAATGTGATGTTTCAACGTGTTGCAGAATTAAGGTTCCCACTTTCTATTTTACCCATTTTCTTTAAACTTTAAGAAGGTACAGCACTGTGTTATAGTAGACATCAATAACAAAAACCGAGAGAAAGAGACACTTACCTGGTTAAAGTGATCTGAAATGTTCTGTAGCCAGCGATGAAAGACGCTAGTCTTGTCAAGCTCTGCTTTCCAGATCCACCGACCCCGACGAGGAGCGCATTTCCCCTGGGAGTGCGGATGATCCGCGACACCTAGCAAGGCACCCAAGCTTTATCAAACACTCAGCTCCCACGGTGTAAGGTTCAGGGATAATACATAGAACATTAATAGAGCAGGCTCCTGTTCATCATGAGAAGAGATGACTGCTGTGTACAAATTGGAAAATCTTTGTCGAACACCTAACTGACATTTTTCACTATATACTAACAATGAAACATTAGACATTGTACAAATCAGTGCAATAATAACCTTTCATTGTAGAGGTCTTAAATTCCTAAAGCAACGCTTTCAAATACTAAAAACGGTGATTAAGCTATGAAAGTAGCTACAGTATTTCCACAGAATTTAAATAAAACTTCTGTTGTTTTCTCCTTTACCTTCACCAAATGAATCATGGCGTCCCGGAAGAAAACCATGTCCATTCCAGCTCCTCGGATGTTTTCATTGTACTGAGCCAGGAATATATTCAAGCGATCCTTCAGGCTTTCAAATGACTCAATGGGTTCGTATACTTTGGGCATCTCAAAATCTGCGTCTTCAGGCTCTTCCCCTGTTCAAGAAAAAGTCTGAATTAACCTGCATTCAGTAGTGATGAGACATCGATGACATGTATCCAAAAATAAATTCAACACAATACCAGTAGCTTCTGGTGCATCTCTCAGGAAGTCAACAAAATAGGCATCTACTGCAGGATCGACAACAGCTTTATCCTCCTCCCCCAGCTCCTCTTCCATGAGCTTGGACAGAGCTCTGTCAAACCAGGCCACGTCCTCAGTAACAGTGAAACGGTCTGCAATAACTCGCTTACACTCATGCTTCCACAGCCGAAGAACCACCTGAAAAACCATCAAGGGACAACAGAGAAGCATGTAGACATATAGAGATATCTACTGTTTATGAACAGCTGCCATTGTAAAATATCACCAATATCTTACAGGGCTGCTGAGCACAGTATCAAAATTTAATAATAATTAATATAATTTGCAGTAGTGGCTGAGTAATTTCATTCAGTTGAATGAAAAATATAAAACAGTATGGTCACCATAAAGCAATTTTGCAATAAAAATAATAAACTATATATTCAGGATATAAAATTGCAAACATCTCTCTTAGATGTATAGATAACTTATTTCCATACCTCTTTTTTAGATTCAAAACATTCAATCCTAAGGATCTATGTTGTGTTGTAAAGGACCAGAAATTAAAAGAAAAAATGTTTTTATTACTGTGAATGTGTCAATTACATTTAAAATATTTTTCTTACAGCCAGAATATTTTCCATACGTTTGACGTAGCTTGAATGAGAGAAGGTTTAAAAAAATGGTAACAATATTGTTAAGATTTACTATTTGTTATCATTCCACTTACATCCTGTGAACTAACAACTTCAGAAGTGGTGTTGAGCATTCCTTGCCAAATCCGGGAAAGGTCCCTCAGGTTGAAAATGTAATGGAATTTGGCTGGAGTGGGGAGCATTTTGATTTTAGTCATCTGCCACAGCTTGCGTGTCAAAGACACCAGCTTAGCTACAGTGCCTCTTACTACTTCTGAAAAGCCTCGATGAGAGCAATAGTGTCCAACTCCAATCACTCCTGAAAATGTAAAAGTGTTAATAGAGTAAATACAGTGCTGTTGCTGCAAATCCTATAATTAAAGAATACATATACAGTGCCTTGCGAAAGTATTCGGCCCCCTTGAACTTTTCAACCTTTTGCCACATTTCAGGCTTCAAACATAAAGATATAATTTTTTTATTT